CCAGAATCTGAATTGTAATAAGATCTTCAGGTAATTTGTATGTCCATTAAAGTTGGAGAAACCAAACATGTTCTGAAACCAAACATGATAAATTTGTTTACCTGAAAACACAGCCTTTCATTCAGATTCTCCATTTTAATTATGGAGAGGTGAGTGAAGAGGACCCTTGAGATCCTTTTACATTTCTCTTTTTCTGTGGTTACTTCTTTCATGATTCTTATTATATACACACACTGTCTGTTTTTTTCTGAATTATTTAGTTAGTGGTTTTATTTTATTGTCGTTTCCTCCATTCTCTGCCATCATCAAAAGAATCAATTTTGGGGACTTATTAGTCTGTTTGTTGGTGTTTTATACGCATTGATCTTGCGTTATTCATATTCACTACTTTTGTTTCCATTCAGCTTATTTTGTTCAGTAATTCCTTTTCGTGAAATTTTTGAACAAAATGCTTTATTTTTTCTATATTTTTGTGCTATGTAAAGTTGATAATATTTATGGCTGAACACGCTTTTCATTTCAGTCCCTAGGTTTTGATATGTAGCATTTCTATTATCATTATTTTAAGAATTCTTCAACATTGGTTTTCTCTCTTCTTTAATGAAAAAGGTAAGTGATAGCTCTTTTTTAAATTTCTAGCTGAATGGGCCCTCTTCAATTATTTTATGATTTCTTTCTAATTTTTATTCCCCTGCGATAAGAGGCTATTATCTGTAGTGCTTTATCTTTTTAAAAAAAAAAAAATCACTGAGCCTTTCTCTGCAGCCTAAAATATGGTCAGCGTTCGTGACTGTGTCTTGTGTTGTTTGCCCTCCAATAGTCTTCTGTCCTTTGCTATTTCAAGGGCAGAGAGAATGACTTAAAATCTCCTTGTCCTGCCTCTTTGTGTTCCTGGTGCAGGGACACTCACAGCTTGCTCTCTCAATGGCAAGTGTGCCCTGAGCGCTATAAAGAACACATCTGGTTAAACACTTTCTCACTCTGCTTCCAGCTCACAGAAGATCACAGCTCCTTCTTCTTTTCTTCATTTTGATTGCATTTGCCTCCTATATATTTTCCCCCTATCATATTTAATCTTTCTCAATCACTTCGCTTTAAGTGAGTCTCCTATAGACAACATTATATCAGGTTCTGCTTTGTGATCCATTCCGGGGAAATATTCTTTCCATAACCAATGAAGCCTGTTTATATTCCTTCCTCCCTTCACCTCTGATCCACATATGTTTTTTTTCTACTCTGGTGTGAAAATGACCAAATGGGGAAGTTTGCCTTCTTTCTCTAAAAGTCTCGATAAAGAGGCTACCACAAGTACAGTAAGTATACACTCGGCTAGTGTGTGCTGGAAATATTTTTTATATATATATAATTTTTTTTTTAATTTTTATATTCCCCATAAAATTGCGACCCCCTTATTCTGACCCCAATCCCTCCCCTCCCTGCCCCCCACCCCCCATAGAGTGTCTCTGGTTCATAGTTGTTTGTTGATTTTGATTTTCACTTTCTTATAGTTATTCTTTTTCCTGGTCCCTTGTTTAGGTTTTCTAGATTCCTGCTATGAGTGAGACCATCCGGTCTTTTTCTTTTTCTTTCTGGCTTATGTCGCTGAGCATGATCCCTTCCAGCGCCATCCATGTTGCTGCAAATTGCATGTGTTTATCTTTTTTGAATGCTGAGTAATATTCCATGGTGTAGATGTACCACATCTTCTTGATCCTGTGCTGGAAATATTGAACTTCATCCTTTTATGAAAAGCCAGATGCGCTAGACATGATCTTGAACTCTCCCCTTGTGTAGATGAGAAAACCAAAGCTCAATATGTAAAAAGTAGCCTATTCTGTATTTAACCCATACAAAGAAAATTCTGTACTGGACAGTGACATCAGGACACAGTGAGACTCCTACAGGGGTCCATGGGTCTGCATGACACTGGGTGGAAGCCCCTGCCAGATTTAAATGAAGAAGGAATTTCCAGAGAGTTCTGACATGTGGCTTCACTTCCCAGATGAAGACCTAGAGGTTGGGGGAGAGCCTGGCTGTGGACTCCCCCTGGCTGTGCACTATTTGCATATGCCCACTGCACAGATAAGGTCAGTGAGGCTCAGGGAGATGATGTCACTTGTTTAGGGTCATGGGCAGGTAATGGGCACATGGGGATTTGAACTTAGCTTTCAAGTTCTTATATATTCCAGCCCTTTCATCCATCACAATTGGAGGAATCCCTTTGGGCTCATTGTCATCTTTGTTCCTGAGGCCATACCAGCCCTCATTTCAGCGGGGCCCTGTCAGTCCCCAAGGTCAAGGGAGTTAGGAATTTGGGCTACTTTTCAGAGCCTGCCCATGCCTGCAAGATGCTATAGCCAGAGAGCTGGACGCCCTAGAAGCACGATAATGTGGAAAGCTAGAGCTGTAATAAAAATAATAAGATGAAGTCATAGTCCTGAATGCTCACCATGAGCCAGTATTGTAAGGTGCTTGGGACGCATTATTAGGTCATATTGTCCTCACCACAGTCCGTAAGTGGAAGGTCATCTTAACCAGACATGTTTTTTGGCTGCATGTGAGAGAATATCTGACTCACACACATATTTGATTATCTCACGAAACAAGAAGTTTAGAGGTAGGTGGATCCGGGGAGGGCTACTCTGTAGCCATCCAGTTGGGGCTAGATTTGGGGCTGTGCAATTTTCCTCAGCTTCTCTCCCCCCTCCCCCCACCCATCACATTCTCACACAATGGCCCCCAGAGAAGAGGAGGCAAATAGGGAGGGCAAAAATCTCCCTAAGTGCCCCACACATATCCAGAAGATCTGCTCAGCCTTGTCTGGACCATGCCCACAAAGAGAGGTTGCTCTGGCTGGCTCCAACCAGCAGTGGTTCATTCCTTGGGAAATGGGCTGGCCTTCCCAACTGCACCGGATTCTGGAACAAATCCGTTCTGTTAGCAACAAAATCCGTTCTGTTAGAAGACAGGGGCCCTGACACATCCTCTCTCTTGGTGGGCTCCTTCCCTGGCGTGCGTTTTTCCCTGGGTTGAGGGGGAAAGAGGGATATGCTATTTGGGAGGGATTTGAAGTGAGGTGATGCCAGTCTGCACTCAAACGGGGGTGGGGTAGAAGAGCTGGCATTTATGGAGCACCTGACGTGTGAGCTGGTGATTTCGCTCCCTCATCGTTGAATTCAGTCCTCACAGCAGCCTGTCAAGAAGCAACTTTTGTTCCCATTTTTCAAATGAGAAAACTGAGACCTCGTCCTGATCACACACGGGTGAGAGGTTGAACCGAAGAAGCAGCTCCCTGCCACCTGGCTCACTTGTGGACGAGGGGTGTGGTTTGGGTCATTTGCTCCTCAGCTTCATCTCCTCCCGTTGGGGGGCACTGGGCTCAGGGAGACAGAGCAGATTGTCCAGGTTCACACAGTTTAGTGCTGGCTAAGTCAGGCTGTGAACCCCACTGCCAGAAGGCAGCTCCACAGGGCCCCCCAAATTTGGAAAACCCTCCAGGCCTGTTATATAGCCTTTTTGGGATTGTTGGCTTTGCCAGCGGCTAAGTTGAATAAATAAACAAGAGGTTTAGGAAAGTCTTTTTGCCTCTTGATGTTCTGAACCCGCTGAGGCCATGTGAGAGTCATCCAGCTGCCTTGTGAGCCAACATTAAACAGTCAAATAAATGAGTCTCTAACATGATAGCAAGAGGCATTGTCAGGGGGGAAAAGCTTAAGACAATAGAGCGTGATGGCATGACCGCTATAGTGGTCAGGGAAGGCTTCTTTGAGGAGGTGACAACTGAACAGAGACAGAGAGAAAAGAGATCTGATAGGAAGAGCCAGCTGCCTGAGTCCCTGAGAGAAGAGCAGCCCCAGCAATGGCAAATAGCAAGTGCAAAGGCCCTGAGGTTGGCATATTTGGGACAGGACAGGAGATGAGTGTGCCTGGAGCAGAGGGGGTGTAGGAGAGGATGGGGTGATATGAAATGGGGAAGGCGGAAGAGCAGATCACGCTGGTTCTTGTGGGATCTGGCATGGACAAGGCTGTGCTCTGAGCGAGGGGAGATGGAGGATTTAGTTCCATGATCTGACTTAGTTCTCTGTGGAGACAGGACTGTGGAGAGATGAGGGAGGAGGCCCCAGCCACCCAGTGCCTGACAGAGCTTACTGCCCAGCACTGAAGTTGCTCCTGTTGCTGAGCTCTCACTAATTCTCACAAGCTCAGAAGTGAAGGGTAACTGTCTCCTCTTCCCGGCTTTCCAGAGAGGATAAAGGGGTATAGGGTGTGGGGAGGGGGAAACAGACCTGGAATGAGGTCAAGGCCTTCCCATCGGAGCCCAGGCCCTCCCCAGCACCCAGGAGGGGTCTCCTGCAGAGTCACCAGCGCTGGCGGCTGGCACCTGAGGCCCCACACAACTGCACCCCTAAATGCTCCAGGTGTGGGTGCTTGGCCCGCATTGGCCTGTGCCTTCCGGCTGAGCTCCTGGGGACTCAGAGCTACTCCTGGTGGCGCTGACTCCCGCCCCATAGTCGAGTCCAGCGGACCCCACCCAGCCCAGTGCCCCGCCGGACAGAAAACTCTCGGCTTCCAATGCGGGGGTCGGGGCTGAGAAGGGGTCGGGTGGTGAGAGTTTGGGTGGAAGGTGCTGGGAAGCAACCCTCACCCCCCACCTCACCGACCCCCATCCTCCTGCTCCCCAACCCCATCCCCTCCCCCGACACCCCCCCCCAGCTCCTGCAGTTTCTCCCCTTCCCGCACCCCGCAACACCCCTGCTCCTTCCTCACACCCCCCCCCCCAAGCCGCGTCTCTCATCTCCCATTTTCCACCCCCTTCCCGGCCCAGGGGTGGGGACCGTCGGGTCCAGCCAAGGGGAGGGGTGTCTCCCGGAGCCCCTCCTCGACCCCTGGGGACCCCGGGTCTGCGCCGCCCCTGGGCGGGCGGGGCCGGGAGCCGGGGGCGGAGGGAGGCGCCGGGCGGGAGGCACCTGGGGCCGCGGGACGCTCGAGCCGCCCGCCGCCCGCCTCGCCGGCATGTCCTGGGCGCTGGTCCTCGGCCTCCTGGCCGCGCTGCTGCTCCTGCTGCTGCTCAGCCGCCGGCGCTCGCGGTGAGTGTCCCCCCTTCCCGCCCGGCGCCGACCGCCACCCCCGATCCCGCGCCGGGCGCTGCGCCCCGCTAGACAAAGGGGGCGTCTCCGCTCCTGCGCGCCGGGGCTGCGCGCCGGGGGCGCGGGGCCCGCAGTCCCCGGCCGGAGGGGACCCTTCCCAGCGCCCCGGCCCGGCGAGCCTCCCTTGGAGGTGGGAGTCCAGGCGCCTCGAAGAAGGGGCGCCCGCGGGGCCCCCCCACTGCACCCGGGGAGGGTGAGCAGCCCCTGCAAAGAAATCTCAAGGGAAGGGCTTGGGGAGTCGCAGGCTCTGGCTGGGCCCCCGGGTCTGACCACCCCCTGCGCACACCCTCAGGGGCGCGGGCTGAGGCCTGGCCCCGAGCGCGCGAAGGGAGGAACTTGCCAAGCAGGTCCGAGGGGCGTGGTGACACCCCCACCCCCTTTTCTGCCGGGTGAGAAAACCTCCTCTCTGGATCTTCAGCCTCCACCTGGCTCCAGCACCAAGGAGGTGTCAGGCCCACCCATTGCGCAGGTGGGAGGGTTGAAGCTGGGGCAGGCGGAGGCGCTGCGTGTCGCCCTCTGATCAGTCCTGCGCCCACCTGGAGGAGGGGGCGCGGTGGGCTGGGCGTGTCCACCTTCAGGGGTCTCCCTCCCCTGAGGCCCCACAGCCTGGGCAGGGGGTGCGGTTGGGGGGGCGCCTGGAGAAGGTCTCAACCTCCCAGTGCCCAAGGTGGTCCCGCTCTCATGAGAATCTGAGATTTAGGAGAAAATGTAACAGCGATTTAGGGGGAAAAGTAAAACTCATACGCTTCAGTCAAGGAGATTGGCAGGAGTCTGTTTCTTTTATAAAATATTTGTAAATGAATTTGAATTGCACAGGAATAACGGAATTCTTTTCACTTCAAACAAATATTTATCCAGTTTTAGATAAGACTTTTAACCCACCCTTCCTCACAATTCCTGGCCTCTGCTGTTCATCAGTTTGAAGGAAACCTTCCAGATTTTTTTTTTTTTAAGTGCACTCGTTGATTTCCACCACTTTTAGGTTTGCAGAAAAGTCGCAGTGACATACAAAGGGTCCCCAAATACCCTTCGTCCAGTTTCTGCTGTTGTTAACCTTCACATTTTCATGGTCAAAACCCAAACTCCAGCACAAGTTTGTTACTATTAACCAAACTCCAGGCTTGATTTGAATTTCATGTTTTTCCATTAGTGTCCTCTCTCTGTTCCAGGCCCCGGTCCAGGCCCTGCGTTCCTGCTAGTGGTAATACCTCCTCGGTCTTCCAGCTGCTTTTAAAATCACTCTTAATCACTCTTGCTTACACAGACAAGTAGATAATAGGGTAGTCTATGTGTGTGTGTGTGTGTGTGTGTGTGTGTGTGTGTGTAAATCAGTGCCTGGAAATTCCAGAAACATCGGGGACATTTTTATTTTTAAATAACATGTTGGTTCAACTTCGAAATCATAAGCTCGCTATGTTTTTCTTCAACCTCTAGACACCTTTCCAGGTGGAAAGAAAAACCATGCATTCAGTCATTTGCCTGCAAAGAAAATGAAAATGGCAAGAAAGAAATTTCCCTATGGAGAAATGAATTATTTTTCCTAACCTGTCAGGTGTGGGGGACAGACACTCTGTATAGAGATGTTTTCAGACTGGGCCTTTGCTATTTTCATCGCGGATTTTAATGTTGACCTCATCCTCCTTGCTCACAGAGCTTAATTCCCTCTTCCCGTCCTCTGTAGTATTTTGTAGTATGACAAAGCAGTAGGATTTTCCCCTTTTTATTCCTGTTCCCATTGATAGATTTTTAGGTTGTTTCCAGTGTTTTTGCGAATTCAGACAATGTGCTCTGCGGCCTTCCTGTGGAAGCCTCCTGGCCTGCGCTTTTCTTTGGGAGGGATGGGGTTGCTGGGACGGCCATAAATGCGTGACTTCTGGGAGCAGGGCCCCGCATTCACTCCATATATGGCAATTCCAAGCCCTTCAGAATATGAACAATCACTCTCCGCCTCAGTTCCTCAATCTTTAAAATGGGGGTGATGATCATAGATGAGAGTGAGCTGTTGGATTAGAAAAGATGCCAGTTTTATGTTGCTTTAGCTAATTTTTTTTTTTTTTGGCCTTGGATCCAGAGAGCTAACTTATCTTTGAGAGAGTTTTTTTTAATAGCCTTGGGCAATGCAGGAGGTTCGACTAGGGGGTATTGGAGAGAAGTGTGGATGTAGGGGGGTCACTGACAGCTGAGGGGCATTTGTGTGGACCTGGGGAGATACCCTGGGAGCCCCAACTTAGGTAACTCTTGTTACTCCCATTTTCTAGAGAAGGAAATCGAGACTCAGCAAGGCCCAGCAACCTCCCCAGGGTCGGCCTGCGGTGTAAGTCTGGGCTGTAAGAATATTCAGTTCCCAGGAAAAATGAATTCTGGGTCCCCACACACATTATATCTGTGATCTGAATGCTGAAAGGTCTTAGGACAATATGTTAAGAAAGTTAGACGTGCAGTTACTACCGGCAGATGCTCGAGAAGGACAAAAATCGAGTGTTGGAAACTGGGTGGATGGTGCTGATGCTGTGTAAACAGTGACCTGAAGCTTGGGTCAGAGCCACACCCTGCACCTGCCCTGGCTCATTCCTTTCTCCTGCCCACCCCGGTGGAATGTCCATCACCCCATCTCATGGCCAAGGTTAGAAAGGCTAAGGGACTACCTATTGGCTGCAGAAATGACACTCCATGTCTAGCCAGTGCCATGATTTTCCCAGTTAAAAAACAAAACAAAGCAACCTTTAGCACTTCAATCAGCAACTCATTTTTTTTTAAAGATGTATTTAATTTATTTACGCATACAAGAACTGGGGTGTAGGTCAGAGGTGTGGGGGTGGGGTGAGATGATTTACCAGAGACAGAGTGGGGAGCAGAACTGGTGGTTCTACCGAAATACGCTGCTGAGGGGAGCAGCGGGGAGACAGGAGAGGTCTGCTGTGCCATGTCGGGGATAGAACACAGGCCGCAGTGGCTGCCAATAGCTTCATAGTGCTGCATTTTAACCCCTTGCGCCACCAGGAAGGCCCTCAATCAGCAACTCTTTACCTATGACTTTTTTTTTCTAGTTCCCCCACCACCACCTTCCCTTGTGTTGCCTCGGGCCCCCTTGTGTCAGCCTCCTTCACCTCAGAGCCCACAGGATATTCCTTGGTGTCCAGTGATTTTGCAAGGGGTTTTATATGATCAAATTACCTGCTATGTAAATGTAACTGATGTTTCTTTAATTTAAAAAATGACTTTAATTATACAGAAAAGAATAGTGTAAGAACACTCCCTGGACCTATCACCTTGATTTGACAGTTAATTGTCTTTGAAATGACAGCTGTCATAACATCTCACCGCTGCATGTCTCGGAATGTACATCCAAAGAGATCACAATTCTCTGATCCTGTCTGAGACTAAAAAAAATAATTCTTAATGGGCTCTCATTCGCAGGGCAAATTCAAATTTCTGCAACTATGGCTGGGATTTTGAAGCCTGGCTCCATACCGGATACCCATGAGTGCATTCCCTCTGGGAGGGGCAGTGAGCCGCTAGGCCTGCTGCTGGGGATTTGAACTCTGACTTCTGTGCCCTTGAGACTGACGATTAGGAACATCCCCCTTTGGGGCCTTGCTTTCCCGTCTGTGCTCAGCTGGTCTCCCAGGCTCCCTACTCTTCAACTGGCATCGCTCATCCTCTTTGGGTTGTGTGGCTGCTGCAGGACTGAGGCCTTAAGCTGAGTTGGACAGGGATGTGACCTGGACCAGTCCCTTAACCCTCTTAGCAACCCCGAGGGGTGCTGCTCATCGAGCAGCTGTGCATGGTTCACTCATCTGACACATTTATGAGGCACCTACTCTGTGCCAGGCAGTGTTCTAGGTGAGGGGTCACCCAGTCCCTGCCCTCACCCCATCCAGCAGAGGTGCGATACTTAAAGGGGCACAACGGTGGGTTACCGCCCTTGCTGCTCTCCCCTGATTAGCAAAGCGTCGATTGGGAGAAGAAAGTGATGTCCTTCAGATGAGGTATGGGGTTCAGTGTGCAGAGTTCGTGGGGTTTCCTCTGAGAAAAGTTACAGCAGAGTTCCCCTTTCAGCCACAGGTGGTGAGTTTCCCCAGGGTACATTTTAAAAGGGCAGGTTTGTTAGGAAAAGCAGAAGGAAAAAGGCACCTATGTAGCCCCAGGCCCGTGTCCTAGGGGGAGAGCTGCATTTTACCAGGACAGAAATTGTACTAGAGCATTCTTTTGGAAAGGCGCCCAGCTGGAATTGTTACGTATTGTGAAATTAATTACTTCTAGGGTATGTTCAGGTTGATCTGTAAGGACTGGTGATTCTCTAGAATAGTCCTCAATCTCCATACACCCATCTCTGGTCCAGGCCTCTGGCTGTTTTTTATAGCAGGCCTTTGTAACGGCTGAAAGTCCCACACCCCTACATCCCAGCCAGGCTCGAGGGCTTTTCATTTCTATAGCTTCATCATCTCTACCCTCAGCTCCAGTTTCTGGTCCTGTGATGCCTCCATCCCAAACTGCCTTCGCCAGCCTCTGTTAAGAGGCTGGGCAGGTGGTGGCATTGGCAGTGGGGTAGATGAAGAGGAACAGGCACTTCGGTGGGACCCCACACGATGGGCACTAAAACTCCAGGGGTAGAATCTGAATAGGTGACTTGGTATCTGAACCAGGAAGAGCAAGTGACAATTGGCACGTGGGCAGGAGCTGGGGATGGTGGCCTTGCGTCCCTGCCCCGTAGCTCTAGAAGGGCCTCAAAATAGTGTCAGTGTGAGGCTAGAGACCCCAGGCTCCACACAGAGCCAACTTTGCTGAGTCACCCTGGAATGTGGCCTGGGTCCTTGCAGGATTCGGGCCTCAGCCTGGGAGAGTCCAGGGTCAGTGCCTGGGCTCCCGGCTTCCTGCCTTTGTCTGCGCCTCCTCGGGAGTTTTCTGGAGAAAGATGAAAGCTGGCTCGCTGGGGAGCTCTGGCACCATTCAGCACAGAGGGCAAAGAAAGGAAGCCCCAGTTCCCCCACCCACCAGCCCCTTGCAAAGATGGCGGGGGAGGTAGAATATCAGGTTCTGCTTTTGAGCAACTTGCTGCAGCCTCTTTGTGTATTTCCTCATTTGCAAAGTTGGGATGCAAACATCCACTTGGGGTGACTGGGGCCAGGGTAGCTTCAGTGAGTGTGGACTCTACTGGGTGAGAACCCAGATCCACACCGGTGAGCCTAAAGAAAGTGACAGCCCCATGTGCCTCAGTTTCCTCCGATGTAAAATGGACTTAGCCATTATTACCAAGCAAGGGAACATTTAGAAAACTCCAGGCTGTGTCTGACACCTACCATCCCTGATCCCACCATAGGTGATCTCTGGGGACCTGAAGCAGCCTGAAGCAGAACTTCGTTCCTTTTTGTGACCATGTAATATTCCACTGTATGATTATCACGCGGGTTCCGCTGTGGCTAGACGCTACTGTGAACAAGTCTATGTCCGAACATACATTTTCAATCCTTTGGGGTCCACTGCCTGGTCTCATCGTAAGTCATTATCCTTTCGAGGAACTCCAGGCTAGTGTCCAAAGCAGCTGCACCATTTTACATCCCCAGCAGAAACGTAGGAGGCTCCCAATTTCCCCACCTCCTTGCTAACACTTCTTTCTCTTTCTTCTGGTTAGTTCTGGCATCTTCATGGGGGTGGGCGCCACCACACTGTGGTTTCCACTTGCTTTCCCCGGTGACTAAGTGCCAGAGCTCTCCCAGTGCTCGCCGGCCAGCCGACTGGCCTCCTTGGAGAATGGTCCACTCAGTCTCGGCACGTCTTCCCATCGTCCACCTGTGTCTCATTTATTTTCTTTACTTCTCACTTTCTGGTTCTCATCTTCTTAGTAGTGGGTGGGCCCCTAAGGAGTCAGGGGCCTTGTCTGCCGTGTCTACTGCTGTAGTTTTAGCTCCCGCACCCAGAGTGATGCTGTTCCAGGGCAGGGAGAGGGGCAGCCCAGACCCCGCAAACCTGCCTGCTCTAAGTAGGTTCTGCCATCCACCGCATCAACACAAAACATGAAATTTTAATGAAAAGGAACTTTAATACAATTAGGAAACAATACAGGAAAGGCAAAGAATATAGTTTTTCAATCAAGTACCCAAAATTACCTATCCCTCGTGGGTAAAAGTCCACCCAAGCAGGATTGGCCCAAAGCGCCCCAAAGCCTGCCCCAAGTCTAAAGCATCCTCCAGTGGGGACCCACAGAAAAGCATCAGAAACAACCAGACAAATCTGGAAGGAGACAAGCAAAACCAAAATCAAGACAAAAACCGCCATAGTCACCTCCCCACGGGTCTCACCCACATCTGTGTCACCCAGTCCATGACCAAAAGACAAGCGCAGTTTTTTCACTTGTCTCTTGGCTCCATGCGCCTCCTCCAGGTCTCCTTCTGGCTTTGCATCCTGCTTTCTTTCTTCCTCAGTCTCCTCTGCAGCCTCTTCTCTTCCTGCTCAGCTCCACCCTCCCTCCTGGAACCTTCCCCTTTTCTGGGGACCACCCCGTTACAATGCCTCCTTTGTGGTTTAAGTTGGTGAATGAGGGGCTAGTCCACGCGAGTAGAGGAGCTGGGACCTTCCCCTCGTTCAGCATAGACTGGGACCTCGCTGCCCCCCATGAGATTCTAATCGTTCTAAGACAGGGGTGCTCGCCTGGTTTTAGGGACCAACCAGGCACCTGCTAAGAGCACCATCCCCACGATATTGAGAGGATCACTGGGTGGTCCTGATGTCGCTCTCCTAAGCTCACAGCCCTTCCCCCAGCAGGTGGGGGGAGGATGAGATGAGTGTTTTGATATCAAGGGCAGGGCCCAGGCTAAGTGCAATGGACGTTGGCGTGCACTGGCTATCTCAGTTGGGTAGCAAATCATCACACACTTGGATGAGAGCCACGCCCGTCTGTTAGCTCAGCTAACCCATGAGGCTGGATGGTCTTGTATGTAACTGTCATTCTTAGCCTATCTTTTCTATATAGTCAGGGATATATACAACCTGCTTCCCAACTGTGACGAACATAAAAAACTTGGAAACCGGGCCTCCCCGGTGGCGCAGTGGTTGAGTGCTGGGTTGCGAAGCTGCCCGCAGCCTCTGCGGTGCCGGTTCGATCCCCGGCTGCTCCCCGGCCACCGGAGGAGGGTCCCACATGGCGCGCAGACCTCTCCTGCCGCCCGCTGCTCCCCTCAGCAGGGTACTTCGGTCCTTCTGCCTGCTCTGCTCCCCGCTCTGGCTCTGGTGAATTCTCTCACCCTCCCGCGCTTCTGACTGTACCCAGTGCTTGTATAAACAAACAAACAAATAAATAAATCTTAAGAAAAAAAAAACTTGGAAACCAACATAAAAAAAAAAATCAGTGGAATTTAAATTATTCCAGGACACTTGATGATAAATGACAGTATTAAACCATGTCCAATTTGAAGATATATTAATTCATTTCCTTATTCTTTTTCCATTCCCACACCCCCTGAAATATCTTCATTTGGAACTTTTACAGTTATATTTTATGGAAGAGACTAGTTAAAATCCGTCTTCTAGGGATTTATCTCTGCCTATTATCAAAATAGGCAAATAAGAATGAAAAATTTTAAAGATTTTGTTATTAATTAAAACAAAATGTTACATTTTCTAGCCTCTGAAGATGCTTTTAACTATTCTACTTCCTCTTAAGTAGGAATTGTCTGAATAAACAAAAGGTAATTTCATTATAGCCTGGTGTATTGACATGTGGCAGAAATCCCTGAGTTCCAAAATGATTAAAGACTGAAGAGAAATAAATCAAAGAGAGAAAAAGAAAAAGAGGGAGAAAGAGCAAGAGAGCCTTATCTCTCTAACACCAACTTTCTCTACTTATTCTTGCTCCCTCCAATCTAATCACACTGACTTCTTCCAGGGCTTTGAAGAAGGCATGATCCAACCCAGGCATGATCCAACCCAGGCATGATCCAACCACAGGGCCTTTGCAATTGTTCCCTTTTCTGAAAGACTCTTCTTCCAGATATCCAAATGGCTCCTTCTCTCCCCACACCCCTTGCTCCAGTGTGTCCTCAGGGAAGTCTGTCCTACCCTCACCATCTAAAAATCACACCCATGCCCCATACTCTTTATCCTTTTCCCTGTTTTATCAAATGGTATTAAGTTCTGTGCCTTCTGCAGGCGACCAGGCGAGCCTCCCCTGGACCTGGGCACTATCCCTTGGCTGGGCCATGCCTTGGAGTTTGGAAGAGATGCTGCCAGCTTCCTCACTAGGATGAAAGAGAAGCATGGGGACATTTTTACTGTAAGTACTTCTTGTGCCTCTAGGGATGGGTGGGGATGAGCAACTGGGCCTGTCAGACCTATTGTTTACTGACTCCTACAACATTTGTATATACGACCCTGCCCATCCAACATCTGTGCTGTGGTTCAACCAACTTCTTGTCCATCGGTCCCTCCAACTATACAGCCAATGCTTATCTAACACCCAACCCTTCATTATTCCTCTGGCATCTTCCCAACATTGTGCATCTTCCCAACATTCGATACTTGTCTATCCATGCAGTTGACCTCTATCCATTCATTTAACCTCCATCTATCCCATGCGTACATTCAACTAACATCTGTTCTCCTGCCTGTCTACCCGATATCTAAGCAGCATCCTTCCATCCTATATCCACTCAACATTCATTCATAGATTCCATTTTCATCAAACCACCGCCTGTCCACTCATGCATCTAGCTTTCAACTATCTATCCCTCCTTTTAGCCATCATCTCTCTCATCTATCTACCTAAATTTACCCGGAGTTTTTCCACTCATGTAACTAACATCCATCCAATTTCCATCAATTATTCCATCATATATTCAATTTCCACTGATCCCATCCTTCCATTTATAGATCTACTTTTCCATCCATCCGTCACGATCCACCCAACATTCAGTCATCTACCCCTTCTATACTCAGGTCAGCAAAGTGGGGCTGGAAGTTCCAGCCCTTTATTCAAGTTGGTGTCCCAGGTATCTAACCCCCAACCCTTAGTGTTTTCCAAAGTTTACTATCATTAGTATAAGAATAGACACCATTATCACTTATAACACTTATGAAATCCCAAGGTTTTGGGAAGATGTGAACCAGGACCCTGGATGAAAACCAAATATATATATAAGAAATATATTTTGATCTTCTGAATGACTAAGTATATATTTCCTGTGAATCACAATATCACAGACACACCCAGCATCCACCTGCTGTCTTGTGTGGGCAGGTTCCTGACTGCCGAGATATTTAAATCATTCGGAGAGCAATGGTAAGTGCCAAAGAGTTTGGTAGTTCAAGAAAACCCTGAATTCCTGTCCTAGCTCTGCCTCTTCTCAGCTATGTGACTTGGACACATTATATGCCTTTTTGAAGCCTCACTTTTCAGCTGTGTGTGGACAGACGGTGCTCCTACCTCACAGGTGGTTGTGAGGATAGATGCGAGAACATTGTCCTTTAGATGCCTGGGGGGGCTGGCACCTGGTGCAGAGGAAGCCCAGGAACCCCAAGAGCCATTCATCACAGTACCCCTGACTCCATCCCTGCAACTTCACACAGGTGCTGGTGGGGGGCAGGTATGTCACTGTCCTCCTGGACCCACATTCCTATGACGCCGTGGTGTGGGAGCCACGCACCAAGCTGGACTTCCACGCCTACGCCGTCTTCCTCATGGAGCGGATCTTCGACGTGCAGCTTCCACATTACAACCCTAGTGATGAGAAGGCCAAGATGAAACCGTGAGTAGCTGAAGATGACACCTGGGGGTGGGCCAGGCTTCTACCTGCGTAGCCCAAGCCCCAGGAGGCCGTGCTGGTCTCCACAGCCAGTGTCCAGTAAAGACATTTTGTTTAAAGAAAACAAAGTGAAACACAAACAATCCAAAAAGAACTGGGCGGAAGAAGAGCTCGTGGCTTTTGAGGGGCAGCTCTGATTTTAGTAGGAAAGACCAGGCTTTCAGACAGCCAGACACTCACTCAAATCCCAGCTCCATCATATCCTAGCTTTGTGACTTTGGACAAATCACTTCCCCTCTCTAAGCCTCTGTTCCCTCATCTGTGAATCGACAGGAGGTGGGTGGGGTGATCTGAGTCTGTACTCTGCCGGCATCAGGATGCTCTCGTTAGTCTTCACCATACTGGAGGACCAGTAGCTCATAGCGCCACTTTACAGGTGAGGACACTGGGGCTCAGAGCTCAGAGAACCCAGGTGACTTGTCCTGCGGAGCGATGCAGGTGAGGACACTCACTTTACAGGTGAGGACACTGGGGCTCAGAGTTCAGAGAACCCAGGTAACAGCTGGGGAGCAATGCAGGCTCTGAATTACAAGGAGCACTTAGATCAATGGGAGGACACGTGAACACATTTAGCACACCCATTATTTCTCATGCGTCATGTCTGTTTTTACCCAACTTGAGCATCCAAAAGCTCCTATTACTTAGAAGCTCAGGGAATCCCTCTAGAGGTTCTCCCTTGGAATTGTCCAGGAACCCTAAGGCTTACTCAATCTAAAGGGATCTAGACAGGTGGAGACGGAACCGGAAGTCTGAGCAGAACACCAGCTCTGTTGCTGCCACACGGTGTCGCTGTTGAACAACGCTGCACCGCTCCGTGGACCCTGTCAGCTTGCTGTGGCGGACCCTTTCCAGCCTAGGACCCTGTGCAGGTTGCGGAGGGGCTCCCCTCCCCGCCAGCAGCGGGGCCTTAACCTTGGCTGTGAGAGCCTACCTTTCTTGACTTCTGATTAGAGCTTAGTCATGACTCAAGGCTGACTGTATTTGGAGGCGCCATGCTTCAGCCACACACTCTCCCACAACTGGTTCTCTCCCCAGATCCCTAAGCACCCAGGGTGAGACAGGCCACAGCAGATTCCCTGTTCCTCATGTCCAGCTACTGGCTAGCAGTGCTTGGCCAGGGGACACTTTAACTCTCCAAACAGGCCTCCCTAACTCTGGGTCTCAGGGAGAAAGTGTTGACCTCTTCGTCGTCCCTCATGCAGGAGTCTGTGGTCCTTATTCAAGCTCACATGCCCAGGAGGGGCTTCTGCCATGTTAGGAGTTCAGGCTCTGGAGTCGAACAGGTCAAGGTGTCAGTCCCAACCGTATCACTGGCAGGTCACTTTCCTCTCTGTCCCTGCGTTTCTCCACCACTGAAATGGGTGTTGAAAGAGCTGTTGGAAGATGATTGTGCGCAACCTAGCAAATGGTAACCACTGCTAACCATTTAATAAGGTCACCTTACCTAAGCCAGTCTTCCAAAGGAGGCGCCCTGAGTGGGCACATCTCCCTTTGGAAGCTGCTTTCTCACTCAGCCTTTGTTCCCTGCCCAGGACTCTCCTCCACAGAGACCTCCAGGCGCTGACGGAAGCCATGTATACCAACCTCTGCACTGTCCTGCTGGGTGACACCACAGAGGCGGGCAGTGGCTGGCAAGAGATGGGTCTCCTGGATTTCTCCTACAGCTTCCTGCTCAGGTGAGCCCATGCAGCCCCCACTCTCCTGAGGGGACCCCAGCACTCTGGGCCTGGGTTAGACACTAGTAGTGCCCAGAAGAACCCCTCTGCCCTCATCCCCGTCCACTGTGCCCCTCACTCTCTCCCCTCTCATCACACTGGAGCCTCCTCGCTGCCCCCCTACCAGGCCAGGTACATTCCCACCTCGAGGCCTTTGCAGCTTCAGTTCCCTTGCCCAAGAATGATGTTCCTTACATATCTGCACAACTCCCCCTTCATATTATTCTAGTCTCGTCTCCAGGGTCACCTCCTCAGAGAGGCCTTTCCTGGCACCCATTTAATGCGGAGCCTTCTCTCCCTGCCTGGTCCTAGGCCAGTTGTGTTTGTCTTTATGGCCCCTAGCGCCACCTACAGGGCCTGTGTGTGCTCGCACGTGTCTGTCTCCAGCTGGCTGCGTGTAACTTTGATGTGGAGGTGGCACAGGAAGGGCCTTCAGGTCCGCTGTAAAACCTCGTGAGCTTCTTGGCTTTGGGTTTATTTTTGGCTTGTTTTTCATTGCCTATTTTTGGTAGAAATATGTGTGCGGGAAAAGAAACAGTGCAAGTAGGATGACAAATGTTGACCACGTCACACAGACCACAGGGCCCGGCGGGCACTGGGTGGCCCGGCCAGCTCACGGCCGTCTCCGTGGGGCAGCTTCTGGCCCGGCTCAGTAGGTGGGCCTGGGAGGCCTGGGTGGCCCAGTTCCCGGTTTTTTCAAGATGTAGGGGGTCATCCAGGTTGTGTATACATTCCCCAGAAGTTGGTAGGTAGGTTCAGCATGTCTTTAGGAAAACTCTACTGACCAGATAAAACCCGACCTTCACTGCAGCTCTACTCTGCCTTTGCGCTGAGGGATGCTGGGCAGTATGGGGATGGGACAGGCCTCTTTCGGCCTCCACGCTCCCTCATTCCTGCCTCCACCCTCTCCTTGGTAAATTCCTCTCCTGGGAGAGTCAGGGTCTAAGATTTGCTCAGCAGGGACGGATCAGGGTGTCCGTGGCCTCTCTCTGCACAGGCCCCGTCCCTCCCCCAACATGGAAAAAGTGAAAACCTGTGGTTTTCCCTTCAGGACTGAGGCCAGTGGGGCTGGGCCCCTGGAACATTCAAAAGTGGCTGGTGGTAAAAACATTCTCTCGGGACCATTCCTGCGTGTGCATGTCAATGTGAGAGTCGTGTGGGTGTGTCTCAGCAAGGGTACACACTGGCTCCTGTGTCTCATCCTTCCTCCTGGCCCTGCAGGCCCTGTCCCTCTCCTGCTCAGATCCTCAGGGTCCCTCAGGTCAACCTTCTCACCATTGCACCCCTTGTCCTGCCCTGTCCTGCCCTGTGTGCCCTGCCAACTCCAAATCTGCTCTGTCCTGTTGCCTCACATGCCAGCTCCAGCACTGGGCAGGTGATCTCAGGCAGCTCTCTGTTCAAGCCCTGGTTGCTCCCTCAACTCTAGCTATGCCTGCTGCCAGACCTCATCCAGCAGGCCTCTGCTCAGATGCTGCCTCCTCCAGGGAGCCTGCCCTGACTGCTCCTCCTGCCTCCCACCTCTCCCACTGCCCCTCCACCCCCACCCCACTCTGCTCGGCATCACAGCCTCCTTGCTGTTCTTCATCACTCCATGGCCTTCCTCGCTGCACATGTCAGCACTGCACTTGCCCTTCCTCTGCCTTGGATTCCCTCCCTTTGATCTCCCTATGCTGGCCTCCATCCCTCTGGTTCCCACTTCACAGTCAGCATCCCCTCTTACCCCTCCTGGGCTCCACTTCCTGTTTCTTGTACCTCCGGGCACCAGCCGATGTCATGCTCGTGCCCTGGTGTCTCTTGTGTTGTCTGTCTCCCGTGCTCACGTGTCCACCCCACAAGGGCCTGCACTCCCCAGCTTGGAAGAGACTGGGGCACGGAATAGGAAAAGCAAAGCCAGTTGCCACGAGGAGTTTTGCCTAAGTGTCCGAGGGGGACCCTGACCTGCTGTTTGCTGCCCCCAGAGCTGGCTACCTGACCCTGTACGGAGTCGAGGCCCTGCCACGCACCCCCCAGAGCCAGGCCCAGGACCGCGTGCATTCGGCCGACGTCTTCCACACCTTCCGCCAGCTCGACCTGCTGCTCCCCAAGCTGGCGCGCGGCTCCCTGTCTGTGGGTGAGCACCCTGGGGCACTGGTGGGTGCTGGGGGCGGGGGCGGAGGGGACGGGGAAGGAGTCCAAGTTCAAGTGAAGGGCACAGGCCCTGGGAGGAAGGACACTGCACGGCCCCGGGCCAGTAAGACCCGACTCTGAGGCCAGGCAAGCAGTGGGCGGCCGAGCTTGGGCCAAGACGAGGGCTCCGGTGGAGATTTTGAGTCATAAGAGCTGGAGTGGGGTCTGGGGACGTGTGTGTTCAATTTTGTGTTTTAAGATTTTAATTTTTTAAATTGTTTACCAGTAGTTAAAGTTGGTTGTAAGAAATTCGAGCACTGTAGAATATTTCAGAAGAAACAATAAGAATTCTTTACTTTTCCTCCACCCCCACCTCACCACACTCCTCGCAGAGGTCACCCTTATTACTAGATTGGACTATATCCTGCCAGAGCCTTCTCTAAAGACACACATACACACTCTCACACACACACACACACACAGAGTAGTGTACTTCTCTAATAATTATTTTCTATTTTTAAGGATTGGTATTTCTTTTTTGACTGAGGTATAATTTACATACACAGAAGCACACAGGTCCTAAATGTGTGCTTTTAAGCAGAGGTATTTCATGCCCCTTCCAAGCTAATATCCACCCTCCAGAGGTGGCCACTGAATGGGTTATTTTGACCTTAGATTCATTTTACTTGTTCTCGAACATCATATAAATAGAATCATACAGTGTGTGCCCTTTTGTGTCTGGTTTCTTTCACTCAACTTCATAATTGTGAGATTCATCCAGATTGCTGTGTGTATCAAAGTTTGTTGTTTTTCATTGCTGTATAATATTTCATCAGGGGAATACAGTCATGCATTGCATAGACTTTTCAGCCCACGATGGACACAGCCTTGGTGTGCAATGCACTGTACCTTCTGGGTTTGTGGGTTTCCCTTTTATGATGGTCTCAAGATGAAATTGCCTAACAATGTCTTTCTCAGAACATGTCCCCGTCATTAAACGATGCATGGCTCTATAATACAATTTCTCCATTCCCCAGTTTGGGCCTGTCATGCACATTCTTACCTGCGTCTGTGGTCCACCCATGCTCTCACATCTCTTAGTTTTCAGGCCTGTGCTCTGTATTCTCTCTGTGCCTTAGTGCCCTCATCTGTAAACTGGGAGAACAGTCTGATCTTCTTAGAGGTGACCATTAGGACTAAAGAGGAAATATGAGAAGAGCTTGTTAGTTGAGCACTTCCTATGTGCCAGCTACCAGGTTAAGAGTTGTCTCTTAACATGCTCACAATAGCTCTTCATTTCTTTTCCTTTATTTATATGTTAAAACAAAACTTAAATGCATTTGATTGTTTAAATTAAGAAACATTCCTGCTTACAATTATTACAGTTTCCTATGGAAACCAGTGCTAACACCATGACACATATCCCGTCAAGCATCTTATAGGGATACTCTGCAGAGATGAGTATGTACATCAGGAGCATGTCTGTGTATAGTTATGAAAAAAGGATTTTATTTCCTTTTTGCATGTTGTGTTTTTTAAACCTCGCATAGCTGTACTTTCTCTCCTGTCAGAACATATATTTTCTAGAGGCATTAGCCAATGCAATTAAATAAGAGAAAGTTGAAGCTGGTATAATAATGGGTAAGGAAAACATAAATATTCCTATCTGTAGAGGATCTGATACTATACTTGGAAAATCCTAGAAAAATCAATGAAAAAAGTAATTCACACAGGAGAGAATCTAGCAAAGTGGAAGGGTAGAAAACTAACAAATTCAGATGACTCTCTTGCCCTTCCCTGTCTGTCTTTAGCCCTCCTCGCCAATAAATTTGTATAACTGTTTTCTTTTGAGTGTGTGGCTAGTATAGTATTTCCTTGCTCTTGTATGACTTTTACCATCTGCTGATTTTATTTTTCTTTGACAGTTTCCTAGAAGTGGGTTTGTCAGATCAAAGGGCATAACCATTAAAATTTTTATTGTGTGCTGCTGCATCTTGTCCAACCACGGAGGAGTTCCTCTGCCTCCCCAAGGCAGCATCTGCTCCTTCCCTGCCAGATGTTATCAGTCTTTCCACTTGTTTGCCAATCTGATGGGCAGAGGCGGGGTAATTTGTTTTAATTTGCATTTTCCCACAACATTGTCAACATGCAGTTATCAGCCTTTAAATCCTTGCCAGTATGATGGGCAAAAAAGGGCCTCTGGCTTATGGGCATTTCCCTGACAGCTGTGAGGAAACTTTTTTGTTGTTGTTTCAGCCATTTGCTTTTTCTCTTTGTGAGTTGCCTACTCGTGTCTCCTAATGTCTTTTTAGAGGCAGTTCATCCAGTCATTGAGTCCTGCCATCAGTGCTGGAAAGTTGGTATTACTGTGCTCATTTTGCAGGCAGGGAAACTGAGGCTCCGACAGGTTTGTCATAGACCACGTGGTAGGTGGCAGAATCAGCAAAATGGAAACTTGGTCTATCTGATTGCAAGATCCTGTGCCTGGAGCACCTGAAACATCACAGCTGCGACTGCTTCTCCAGGAGACAGTGGTTTCCCTGTTAGCCTTTCCTCCAGGGGAGTCTGGGTAGATGCAGAGCCCCGACTCAGGGACTCTCAGGGAGCAGCATGGCTGGGTGTAGGAAGGCAGCATTTCCCAGTGTGGGCAGCAGGTGGCGGTGTTAGGAAAGGTTTCTCATCTTGGAACCAGAGTCTGGGGGGCAAAGAGACTTATGATTTTGTTGAGGGGTGGGTGAAGCCTTGTAGCCTCTTTGGAAGAAAACATTGGCAGAACCTATGAAAATATAAAATGCATGTTCCTTTAACCCTGTACTTCCACCTCTAGGAATTTATCCTATAGAAATGCTTGCACATATCTACAGATACACAAAGATATTTCCTTGCCACATAGCTTGAAGTAGCAAATGCTAGAAGCCACCTAAATGTCCGCCAGGAGGGATTGATGAAATGAATTATGTGTTCATAGAAAGGAAAAGTGTGCAGCTGTAAAACAGATTGCAGCATACTGCTATGGGGATAAAATCCTCTTACCAAAAAGGTGCTGAACATTGGATGTGTTGTTTTTTCTTAAAATGTGTTATTTCACTTTTTTATACTAGCCATCCTAATGGGTATGAAGTTATATCTTATTGTGAATCTGACTTGCATTTCTCTGGTGATTAACGATGCTTTGTATTTATTGGTCATTTGTATATCTCTTTTGGAGAAGTATCTGTTCAAGTTCTTTGAACATTTTTTTTTAATTGGGTTGTTTTGTTGTTGAGTTCTAGGCATTCTTTATATATTCAAGTTACTGGACACTTATCAGATATATGATTTGCAAATACTTTCTCCCATTCTGACTGTTTTTTCATATTGCATTGCTTTTTAAAGTCTTCCTTAAAAGTCGTGTTTACAATGATGGTCAATTGTACTGTCAGGCCTCAGAGAATGCCAGTCATTTCAGAATCCACGTTCCACCTCCCATTTTAGCTGTCTCCTCACATGGCTCCTGGATGCATCCAGACATCACCTCACTGCAGTGGCTTCCACACTTCCTGTACCCACACTCACCTGCTTATGATCTCTGCAGGCAGGGCCTCCCGAGAGGTCTGACAAGATCTCAGGTGGGACCTGGGCATTCCAGGAGGATTGTCCAGTGCCTGAAAAATTGGGCAACAGGAAAATAATGTTTTTCAGGGGCTCATCACTTTAAACTGAGAAGCATGTCACCCAAAAAACTATTAGGAGGTTGAAGAAAAGCATATTATTTAGCACTGTCCCTAATATTCTTAAGACAAAGAAGCTGAGCCTGCATTGTTCATGCTGTCAGATACACTGGACTGTGTGGCGGTGTAAGAACCGCTGGATCCTTTGCAAACACGGCTTTGTGGTTCAAAAAATCAATGCGGCAGTTTCTGGTACTTTGAATTAGTAATCCAAAGGAACTCCCGCTTTCCCAAAGTGATTCTGGAAAAAGCAAATCTTGTATTTGTGAATATCTATCTATATCAACACTGCATCGTCCTGAGCATTAGCACCACAGGACATCAGCACACGCATATCTTCCCTGAAGTCAGGGCCTGTGGGCCCCTCTGGCCGGCCATAAAGACAGGCCCACCTCCTGCTGTCTGCCCTGAGGACAGACGACATTGTCTATTTCCTGGGGATTGAGACCCAGTGACCTTAAGCACCGTTGACCTGCAGAGATGCTTTTGTTACCTCTGCAGTGATAAACATTTACTAACTGCTAACCTTGACAAAGTCAAAGATTCCCCATGAACAGCTGGATTTCCAGCTTCCGAAAGCCTCAGCTCCCTGGCCAGGCTGGCTGCCTTCTCAGCGGGCTGAAGGATGTATCTGTGGGGGCTAGGCAGGGGCCACCCCACTTTTGCTCGAATTCTCACAAACTCTTACTGGTGCTCCTCCCTCATGGACTTTCCTTGCTTCCCTGGAGGTCTTAGAGACCCCAGACCCTCCTGATGTCCCCTGCTGCTTCTGGGTTCTCCTGAGTGAAGCCATGTTGAGTCCACTAGCTGTTTCCTATGCTCGCTCCTGCCGTAAAACAACACCGTACATTCCACACGTATTAGCTGAGCACCTGCTGTGAGTCAGGCCCTGGGACTAAACCAGACAAGGCCCTGCTCCTTCTCCTGGGGGTGAGAGGTCACAAGGGAGCCAGCATACAAATGGCTCTTGCTGGAGTCACCTGGTGGTGGGGCCTGTCCCAGTTGCTTCTTTCCCATCGGAGCTCCCACCCCTCTGCCGTGACACTCAGCATTCTCGGCCTCATGGGAGGTCAGGGCCGGGGATGGACCTGTAACCCCCACCTCTGTGCTCTGTCCCTGCAGGAGATAAGGACCATGTGTGCAGGGCCAAGGGTCGCCTGTGGAAGCTGCTGGCCCCGGCCAGGCTGGCCACCCGGGCGCACAGGAGCAGCTGGCTGGACAGCTACCTGCTGCACCTGGAGGAGATGGGCGCGTCGGAGGAGATGCAGGCTCGGGCGCTGGTGCTACAGCTCTGGGCCACGCAGGTGGGCGCAGCGGGCTGGCGGCACCTGCAAGTGTGGGTGTGGGGATGGGAGGTGTGCATCTGAGTGTGTTGTTGGCACGCACAGGCTCATGAGTGTGCATGCACGAGTGTGTGCAGGAGTCCATGTGTGTGCACGGGTGTGCATTGGCAAGTGCTTCCAGGGCCCAGTCCAGGCGTTTTCAGCTGTCAACAGCATACGTCCAGGAACACTCCTGCAATATTCTTTTTTAAATTTGGAAAAATGTCAACCTAGAAAAATGCAGGAATGGTTGAATGAACTCATATGTACACTTCACCTTGATTGCTCAAATTTTAACCTTTTGCCACATTTGCTTGCTCTGTCTCCCTCTCTCCTACTGTATTATTTTATTGACCCATGTGAAATTAGCTGCAGACATCATGACTCTTTACCCCTAATTACTCCGGCAGGCCTCTCCTAGGAGCAAGAATTTTCTCTTAGGTGACCACAACGCAACCATCAGATTCAGGACAATTACCCCAGATGCAGGAGCATTATCTGATGTGCCGCCCTTATTCCCATTTTGCCTGTTGTCCCAGTAACGTCCTTTATGGTTCAGCTTGGTCCAGCATCCAATCCAGGATCGACGGTGCCTTTAGTCCCTCCGCCTTTTTAGTTTTCTCTAATATGGAACTGATTCTGTGCCTTTAGAGATCCTGACATTAAAATGTGCAGACCAGTTATTTTGAAGCATTGCTTGAAAATTACATCAAGACTCTGCTTCACTGCTGCCTATGTTGCTTTGTTGCAAAGACCCTGTTGCTTATGTTTCAGTCAGGATGGGGGCGGGGGGTGGAGCAGAAGTCAAGGAAACAAATACAAGGTCATTTTCGATGGGGATATGCAGGGTATAAAACAGGGTGGTGCAGAGAAAGATTCTGGGGTCTATGCTAGCCAGGATGGTTCGGGCTTCTCTGTGGAGGAGATGTTTGAGGCCTGGAGGACAAGAAGAAGCTAGTTTTGTGGACTTGGGGAAGATGTGAGGCATTCAATATTCCATGCAGAGGAAACAGCAAGTGCAAAGGCCCTGAGGTTGGTTTCAGCAAGGAGCAGGATACCAGAGCAGCATGAGGAGAGGAAGTAAGACTAAGGGCCGAGATCACTTGTGGGTCCAGCAGTAAGGACTTGGGGTCTTTCTCTGGTGAGGCGGGAGCCCTGCAAGGATTCCAAGGAGAGGAGGGACAGGACCTGAGGGGCAAGGGCAGAAGCAGGGTCACCAGTGGGGAGACAGTGGTAGCGTGTCCGGTGGAAGCCATGGAATAGATCGATTCTGGAAACAGAGGGAAGGCCTCACCTTCCCTTGGTAGTGGATCAGTGTTTGGGGGAGAGAAAGCAGGTGTGAGGAGGCTTGTCTCCAGGCCTGGTTCCCGCCCGGGGGCTTCCTCCTTCTCTTGGCCTCACCTGAGTCATGACAGTTGCACAGGCCGACATTTCTGGGTAATTCCTCTCCCATCGACTTGAACTTATTTTTGGTTTTCTCTCAGATCCATTAACTGCTCTTGCAGGCAGAGGCTGGTATGGGGTGGGGGCTGGGTTTAATTAGCAGTTGGGGCCCCATTAGTGCCTAATAACATATTTATGGGCAGAGACTTGGAGCTCCAGACTGTCCCCCAAATCCCTTGTGGAAGTGACCTGTCAGCTGATCTGGACGCTGGCCTGGGGGCTCAAGTGGCAAAATATCCAAGGAACAGCTTTGGGGGTGGGAGGGGCGGGAGCTGGGGTGGCATCTCTGAGGTCAAGTCATTGGCAGTGTCCAGAGTTCGGGCAGGTGGGGCGGCCCTTCGGAGCCTGAGTCCAGAGAGCAGGGCCAACACCTGGGTGACCAGTCGTTTCAGCACAGGCTCTGTGGCCTGGATCTGAGTCCTGATTTTGCCACTTCCTGGCAAGTTAGTCCTTTAGTTTTAACTTGCCCATGCCTCGGTTTACTCAGGATGCCGTCGTAGGGATGAAAGAAGTGGGACAGGCGAAATCCCTAACCATGCTTGGCAGGCTACCCTGACTCAACAGCGCCCTCAGTGCAGATGGAGTGAGGCCCCAGTGCCAGGCTCCACCCTGGAGCTGGGGACAGAGCAGTGAGCAAGCCTTATAGAGCTGACACTGTGGCAGCAGAAGACAATCAGTAAATAAATAATCACAATCACGCGTTGCTTAACGCGGTGTGGGCAACAGCAGGCTGCACAGAAGGTGGTGGCCCCACCGGGCTGCACCTTACCAGCTAGGTGTGCAGGGGGCTGGACCGGCCAGGTTTGTGCATTACACTCTGTGATGGACACAGCGATGTAGCCGCCTAGCCATGCGTTCCTCCGAAGGCGTCCCTGCCATCAAGTGATGCGTGACAGCACATCAAATATATTAGAAGTAGTAAGTCCTATGGAGAATTACTAAAGCAGGGAGGGAATGGCAGAGGGCCATGGGAAAGGGCTACTTTATGCAGGCTGGCCAAGGAAGGCCTCACCAGGAAGGTGACATTGAGCAGAAACTGGAAGGAAGCGATGAGTGGATCTGTAAATAGATCGAATGAGGGTGGCCCCGCAGGGTGGCAGCAAGTGCAAAGGCCCTGAGGTGGGGCTGAGAGTGAAGGCAGGAAGGCAACAGGTGCCAGACCACACAGGGCCCTGCAGGCTGGGGAAGACTTTGGCTTTTGCTCTGAGATGGGATCCCTTTGAGGGCTCTCTGGGCAGAGAACAACACGGTCCTCCCTTGGCTTGGGAGGGCACAGCTGAGAAGGGACTGAAGTGGTGGAAGTGGAGGCAGGGAGGCCAGGCGAGAGGCCACTGCAATATCCAGGCAAGAGAGGCTGGTGCTGGGCCGGGGAGGGAACACACGGAGGGCATTCGGGGCCTACTTCCAGCAGAGCAGCTGGAGTTGCTGTTGGGTGGGATATTGGGAGATGCTTCATCAAAGATGACTCCAGGTTTGGTCCCGAGCAACGGGAAGGATGAAGTTGCTGTAAACAGACAGAGAAGGCGGTGGAAGGAGGAAGTTTTGGGGGGAGAAAATCAGGAGTTTGATTTTGAGTTGGACACGTGAATTTAAGGTGGAGACTGGGGCGGGACCCTGGAGCAAAGAAGAGTCTGGTGTTGGGGGTTAAGTTCCGGCTGGAGACAGAGGATTGAGAGTTGCCAGCGTGGAGATGGCCATGAACCCGCTGACCTGGGCACCACGGGGAGGGTGAATGGAAAGGGCTGAGCCCTGGGCCTCTCCCCAAGCCCCATCCTCCGGCTTTTCCTAGTGTTCACTTCTTGCTTAACAGCTGCACGTTTATCAAAAGCAATAAATTAGCATGGGTCATTGCTATGAATTAAAAGGCCATACTTTATTCAGATTTCCCTCACTGAGGTGCTATTTGTCTTCTTCAGGTATTTTTTTTTTAATTCCCTTAAACACTTTATTTAATTGTAAAAAATGAAAAGAAATATAATTAATCCCTCAGCTCTTTTTTCTTCTCTGATGGCTCCAGCCCCAGATGTGCTTCCCCAGGCGGTAGTGGGGCCCACCAGGGGAGCCTGACAATTTGTCAGTGCAAGGTGGGGAGCCTCCTGTCCTGCAAATTCTAGCACACATGCCACGTGTCCCTGGAGCCCATCACGGCTGAGGGGCCGGAGGGTCTCATGGAGATCTGGAGGGGGTGGGTCAGCCCCAGAAGACTCTCATGGACTTGGAGTGAAGTGGAGGTAGTTCTCAAAAGCAAAATCGGGTGCTGTTACCCAAAGGTGAGGGGGTGGGCGAGGGGCAGGCCGGGCTGCAGGTGTCGCCCACCTGCGGGGAAGATGCCACAGGATGGCACATGCGAGTCTGGCACATAGCGTGCCTCCTGGACGCCAGTACCTCCACGCGCTGAGAAGGTAGGCTGGACAGGCACTGCTCTGTCATGGCCTTTGGCTTCTGTGAAGGGAATGAGGTTCCATTGAAACAGCCTCCTGGGTTAACTGAGTCAAATTCCCACTTGAGGAAGTTCACCCCAGGGTAGGGAGTTCAGGGTTTCTATGGTCACTGGGTGGTGCACACATACACACACACACATCTCTGCAAATGGGCCAGGGCGGCCTTTGTGCCCTCCCTAACTTGCCACGGCTTTTCCTGAAAGCAGAGAGAAGGGAGTAGCCTCCTGCTTTGTAATTAATGAGCGGTCACCCCCCATCTAACCATCCAGCAAGATAAAATGGCCCTGGCACTGAGTTAACCCAAAGCTGAATTATTTATGGCCTCCATCCCCCTGGCTATTTAAGTGATGAACAGCAGGTGACCTTGCTTACATCCACCGGGCTGGAGGTGCCGGGGAAGTCGCAGTCTGAGGCATTCACCTGTTCTCAAAACTGGGCGAGCTGGTGGGAGAGGGAGCCCATCTCTGAGCCCAACATGTGAGGTTCACTGGCTTGGGGTCTCAGTGGGTCCTAATAGCCGCCCCATTTGACCAAGAGGGAGATTCTGAGACCCAGTGGGGGGATTGACTTGTTCACAGTCACAGAAAGTGGGGAGCTGGGAGTTGAACCCACTCTGTCCTGTCCCATCCAGGAATCTGTGGGCTACCTCCTAGGCTGCCCGGGGCCCCGGGCACAGGTGCTGGGCAGTGGGTCGGGACTAGCAAATGCTTCTTTTTCCTTTTCGTCAGTAAAAAGTGCCATACTGGGGCCTGCTTGATGGGCGGCTGGCACAAGGGAATGTGGTACCTCCTTAGCCTTGAATTCACAGAAGCTAAAGAAAAAGTCAGAAACCGCCTCACCATCCTTCATGCAATGGTGCTTTTTTACCCTCTGTTACCTTTTTTTTTTTTTTTTTATCTGTGATGAAAATCATGCTGATTTTAAAATCTAAATCTTTGTTTTACTTAATGTTGTGTTCGGCATTTCCCCACACCATTGGAGATTGTTGTAAAAATCATTTACTTTGTTTCATGTTACAATAGTGCATCCACATAAAAAAATTCCTTTTAAAAAAAGGACAGAGGCAGGGGCCTCCCTGGTGGCGCAAGGGGTTAAGACACAACCTATGAGGCTGTCCGTAGCCACTGCAGCATGAGTTCGATCCCCTAGCAGGCCAGGGAGCTACCCACATGGCGCAGCAGACCTCTCCTGACTTGCCTGCTGCTCCCCTCAGCAGTGTATTTCAGTCAGTCTGCCTGTTCTGCTCCCCACTCTGTCTCTGGTGAATCCTCTCACCCCTCATACCTCTGGCCTGTACCCCAGCTTTTGTATGCATAAATAAATAAATCTTAAAAAAAAAAAAAAAGGACAGATGCAGAGAAAGCCCCTGTCCCACCCTCTGTGCTCCCAGCTTCTGCCCAGAGGCAGCCTCCATTGCTGCTTCTTCTGTCTCCTTCTAGAGATGGGATCTGTGATTTTTCATGAAAATCCCTCTAAGCGCAAACGCAATGGTTGCACCCCGACCCCCGCTGTGCCTCTTGCCATCTGCATGCGTCAGTGCCTCTTGGGTACCATCCCCAACAGGAAGCCCAGAGACGGCTTATTTTTAACAACTCCCTGTATCATCATCTTATAAATGACGATGGATCGTTATTTCTCTCATTGATCTCAATAGCTGTGGAGGTAGCTTCCCGTCTTCGGCTGTTACGTCAGCACTTTGACAAATATCCTTGTGCAAATGCCCTTTTGTCTGTGTGTAATTACGTCAGTGATAGAACGACTGGGTAAACATTGGATGACTAATATTCCACATTGCGATTGGATAGTCACTCGTGATAGACAAAAATCTTCCCCTACACCAAGGCTTATGGGCTTTCCACCCATGTCTGGAGCTCAGTTAAGGGTACTCCATATGCATTTTAGCCACATGCCTGACTATTAAAATGCTCTGCCAAGGCAGACGTCTCAGAGGAAGAAATTCCATCTATTTTCTTTATAATTTCACTTTTGGAAAAAATAAAATAATTTCACTTTTGAGAGTTTTAAGCTATTTTTGTTCAAGAAATCACCGCCATCTTTGATTACTGCTGCTTTGCTTTATACATGCAGAATGTGTATATATCTGAAGGCAGATATTCATATGTTGTGCCAGTTTGCCTATTGCTATGTAGTAACTACAGAAACTCAGTGGCATACACTGTCAAGAACTTAACTCACACCTCTATGGGTCCACTGGAAGTCAGCTGGGGAGACTGGGCTCAGCTGGACCCCTCAACTCTGCTCCATGTGTTTCCTAGCCTCCTCTAGGTACAGGTAGGCTAGCCAGACAAGGAGTAACACACACACACACACACACACACACACACACACACAGTCCCTGATGGCCTAGATTTAGAACCGCTGGCCTGTTCATTTCACCTCTCTCAATTGGCCTACGCAAGTCAGTGGCTGAGCCCAAATTCAAGGGTGTGGGGAAATATGCTGAGCCTCCCTAATGGGAGGAAGCACAAAGCCACTTGGCAAGGATGTGGTAGCAGAGAAGAGTAAAGGATTGGGGGCAGGATACAGTCGATAATCCTAATTGTCATCCTTTGTTCCTACCATGATGCTTTTCCACTGATTAGCTCTGAAGATGACCTGGATGATCTCAGATCAGCGATTTTGCTCAAGGTCAGGGATGCCTGGAGAGGCCTGGAAGTGGGCATTGGGCCAAAGCCACAAAGCAGATTTGTCTGCATCCTGAGGCTGCAGCTAGACTTGGATGATGCCTGGATGTTGGCTGGGGTGGGAACCTCCTGGCCCAGTGCCTTCACCGGGACTGTGTCCGTGGCTCACGCCCCAGGTTTGCCTTGTTGATGTGATAACGGGCCTGCTTCTCATGGCAGGGGAACATGGGCCCTGCTGCCTTCTGGCTCCTGCTCTTCCTGCTCAAGACTCCTGAGGCCCTGGCTGCTGTCCGTGGAGAGGTGGAGCATTTCCTGTTGCAGCAGGAGCAGCCTGCCTCGCAGATGAGTGCCCTCCCGCAGAAGGTCTTGGACAGCATGCCCGTGCTTGGTAAGCTGCCAGCCCCTTGAGAGAGCCCGCCGACTCTGTCATCATGGACCCCCTAAGCCCTCCCAACATGGGTGCCCATCATCCAGAGTCCAACAGTGCCCTCTGGCCCAGGGTCTCCCTGAGCCTCCTCTCTCAGCCCCAACATCTATCTCCAGGCCCCTGTCTCAGCTGCCCATGATTTAAGGTCTCAGTGGGACATTTTGGTTACAAGTGGCAGAAAACTGAACTTAAAACTGGCTGGAGCAGAAAAGTGACTTTATTTGGGGATGGAACTCATACTTCCAAAGGTTCAGAAGCTGTGTGGCTTCAGGCACAGCTGGATCAAGGTGCTTTAACAATGGCATCAGGACTCCAGCCTGTCACTGTCTTTCGGCCCCATTTCGCCAAGTTGGCTCCAGACTCTGGCTGGCATGACGGCTGCCAACACCTGCAGCTGCCGAGCTCTCTGCCCAGTGAGGTGCACTTCTCTGCAGCATCTGACCCACAGCCCTGATTTTCCTACCCAAAGTCTCATATGACTCTTTGGGTCATATGCCCATTTTGAACCAATTGCGGGCTTCAGAAGGTGGAGGTGCTCTCACTTGCCATCACTATCCAATTCTAGGAGCTGGGGGTAAAATCAACAGCCCACCCCCTCAGAGTGGGGTGGGGGGTGTTAGCGAAGTCAGGAACTGTTTCCAGAAGGGGCGTGTATGCTGGAAAGGCAGAAACAACTGCTGTGGATGGCTGGCTCGGACATCTTCCTGACTCCCACCTCCCCTCATAACTTCTGGGCCACACCCAAACCCTTGTGTCCGAGGTCTCTGAGAGCTGGAAGTGACCACCTCATCCTTATTCTCTGGCCTTTCTCAGCCACTCTTGCCATGTGGGCAGGTGGTGTAACCCTGCTGAGCCTCCCACCCTCCCTGTAAAATAAGGACGGGGTGGCACTCGAGTAGGTGGGGGGACAGCGGCCGACCCTGCCTGTGCCCGTCCCGTGCAGACAGCGTGCTGAGCGAGACCCTCAGGCTCACGGCCGTGCCCTTCATCACCCGAGAGGTCGTGGTGGACCTGGCCATGCCCATGGCTGACGGGCGGGAGTTCACCCTGCGACGGGGCGACCGCCTCCTCCTCTTTCCCTTCCTGAGTCCCCAGAAGGATCCGGAAATCTATACGGACCCAGAGGTAAATGCATGCCAGCCCCCGGGACCAGCCTGGTCTGAAGGGGAGCCCAGCTCTGCTCTCTGCTGCGTCACCAGATCACTTCACCTCCCTGCCTGCTTCCTCCCCTGTGAAAAGAGCCTCATAATAATGCTACTCCAGGATCATTAGGAAGATTAAATGAGATCCCAATAAGGCAGGTGTCCCTTGTGAGTGCCTGGCACGCCCTGAGTGCTTCGTAAGTGATAGCTGAGCAATTTTCCTTTTTTCAGAATGCTATCATGTCAACTTCTCGATACTTTTCCTTCTCCCTGAACTTTGAGATAGGACAAATGTTCACAATTTCTAACAGATTTGGGTGCATACTGTGTGTCAGGCCCTGTGCTATATGCACACACCCATCCCCCCACCCAGCCACCCAGCCACCCAACCATCCATCCATGCACCTCTCTGCCCATCTAGCCATTCATCCATCAGTCCCTCTTTCCGTCTGTTTATTAGTCCATTTACCTTATTTTCCACCCACCTTTCAGCACCTACTTTGTGCCAAACCCTGTGCTAAAATGCATCCTCACCTTAACACTCTACAGTGTAAACCAAGGAAGTTGGCATTCTCTTTTTTAAAAAATAATTTTAATTTCTTTGATTTTAAATGATGAAAGTAAAATAGATCTACGCGATAACATACACATCTCTATTTAAAAGTAAATTTTTTTCTCCGTTTCCCTTCCTCTCCAGTCCCACAATACTCCCTGTTATTGGTTTGGAGTCCAGCCTTTAAGTCATTCTCTTGCTTTTACAGACCCACCTGGACACATTCACACACACGCAGTAGGTGGGTGGGTGTGTCTCTGGGATCAAGCAATGCATGCTAGTCCAACGCTGGCTTTTTCTCGCTCAGTACCAATCTGAAAAGCTCTCCCCGTGTTGGCACTCACAGACCAGCCTCAGCCTTTTCTAGATAGTGGTCACCGTTTTCTAGCCCATTCCCCAGCTGCTGACCCTCCCCTTGGCTCCAGTTTCCCTCTTATAAGCCAGACGGTGATGAACGAACATGTTTCTTGGTGCGCGCATGTCTGGGGAGGCAGGAAGTCAGAAATGGGCCCTATTCCCGTTTCAGGTATTTAAATACAACCGATTCCTGAACCCCGATGGATCAGAGAAGAAAGACTTTTACAAGGACGGGAAGAGACTGAAGAATTACAGCTTGCCTTGGGGTGCAGGCCACAACCAGTGCCTGGGCCGGGGCTACGCCATCAGCAGCATCAAACAGTGAGTGTGTTGGGGGGACAAGGCCCCCCAGCCATCTGGTTGGCACAGCCCTCCCAGGAGCTGGAGGGGCTCAGGCAGGAGAAAGGCTCAGGCCTGTCTCCAAACTCACAGGGTGGGCCCATGGGCAGTTTGCCCACAGATCTATGATTTGTGTTGTTTTAAATGGATGCTATCTTTTAAAAATCAGAAGTGCTCACACGAAAAGCCAGATTCTGATTTCTTTTGAAATGATCAAATCTGGCAACAGGTTTTTCTCTCCATTCCTGGTGCCCAAATCCTAAACACCCAGAATGCCAAACACTGACAGCCCCTGCAGCGCTCAGCTCTCTGTCTGCAGCTCCTGTGCATGTACCAAGCCCCACGGCAGGCATGGCTGACCATCAGTGTCCCCACCTTGGCTATTTTAACATTGGTGGGATGGAACACCCCATAAGTTTTCTTCCCTGGACCCCAAGATCTTGGACCCAGGATCACAGATGGACAGGCAGGGGTTATGACATTTGCTCTGTCCTTCTGTGCAGCCCCTGCATAATCAAAAGATGAGTGACCTCCTCTACTTCAGCAACTGTAAAATGGCGGTGCCAATTATCATTGCCTTGCAGGGGTGTCAGGACAAATGAATCGGCTCTTTCTTAGTACTTAACCCACAACCTAGTACATTGTAGGCATTTAGTAAACATTGTTTGTTATTAATTTACACGCAAACAGTAACGTGCACATTCCACTAACCTCGTGGCTTCAGTTTTCACGGTGGTGAAACGGGGACCATCACACAGCCAGCTCTCTCTCTCTCATGCTCCTTGTATGTTCTAAAAATCACTGTGCTGGGTGAAATCACCCCAAGTACTTTTTTTTTAAACTGCAGAGGTTTCAGGGGAAATAGGACTAGACCTCACAGATACCTGTGACACATAAAAAAAAGATAACTAGGAAAAAAATGCTAGCACAGGCTTACGAACGTAAAACATGTAAGAAAGACCAACGTACTACAGTAAATACGGGGCTTTGCTTTGACAACGACCTGGATGGTGTTTGCTGTGTAAGTGGTGCCGGAAGGGCTGTGGCTGCCACTGAGGCGGGTGTAGGGAGGGCTACCTGGAGCCTGACACCTCATGGGCAGGTGTGGCTCACCCCCCTCCCACCATTGCCTGGTGCTGAGGTCCCTTGGGCAGAGATGAGGGTGTATTTGTGTGTTTTGTGGGTCCCTGCACAGCTCAGTTCAGCCAGGCCCAGGGTTCACTTTCTCCTGTGTTTTTGTAGGTGAAATTACACAGAAGAAAATGCGAACTTTTGCTCAGCTTCTCCAGACCCTGATAATATCAGTCACGCTGGACCCCACTCAGTGTCCAAAACAAACGTGAGGGGGCCCTGACCCTGGCGCCTACCTCACAACACCTGGGGACAGAGGAAAAGAGAAATGGGTGCTTGCATGTGTCGGGCAGCTAGTGCTGCAATAAATCAGCTAATTTCTTGTCACTTTCATTTCACTTAATGACCATGATGACTGCTGGGTAGAGGGTCCCCCTAATACTGACTCGAAAGAGGTCAAGTCTTGTGCCATGGTCATGCCCCCGGTAAATGGAGATGCCAGGACCAAATCCAGGCATGTGCAGAGCCCCCCTCCCATATAAGCTCACCCTCCAGCACCCTCCAGCTTCAGAGCTGGCAGGCACCCATCCTGCCCCTTTGAGCAGATGGGGAAACCGAGATGCACGCACCCTGAAGGAGCAGAGCCCAGCTCTACACCCAGTTCAGTGTCCAGGGCACGGCTTCACTCTGTCCTCAGACTCAAGAACCCTGCCGGGTGCTCAGTGCTGCTGGGTCTCTGCGGGGGGTGGCGGTGGGACACAGAGCGATTACATCATGCACACAGTAGATGCTTGTTAGCAGTTTTCCAGAAGATGGCAGTGAAGACAGCTTTTCTTGCAAGGTCAGTCTATTCTGACAGTTTCCCCACAGACACCAGGAAAATGTCTCCAGGGAAGGTGCCTGTTCTCATCCCACAAAGACACCTGCGAGTTAGCAGCAGCCTTGACAGCGACAGATGCAAGGGTGCCCTGAGTTTGGAGGGGGGGTGTCCGTCTAATCAGGAGAGGCCAGGCTATGCTGCTGTAACAAACCACCCCCAAGTCTCAGCGCCTTGGAATATCAGAGGTTTACTCGCCTGTGGGTTTGGGGAGCTCCTCCCCCTCATGCAGAAACTCAACAGTCATGCTGTCTCCGTCTCCCACTTTCCATCTCCCCACTTCCCCAGCTCCACGTGAGGCCCGCATAGCTAAGGGGCAGAAGAAAGAGCTGGCAGGCTGCTCTGGAATGCTTTGGTGTACAATTGGCACTGCCAGCCAGAACCAGTGGGGGGACTACCCACAGGGGGCTAGCATGTTGGGGGTCTAGCACATGTGGGGACAACTTGGACCTCTGGGGAGCTGTGGACTCCTGTGTCCTGCTCTCTCCTTGGCCCACCCTCCCCAGAGTGAGTATCGGAATCAGGATCAGGAGGAAGCCATGAGCTTCCTGACCAATTCTGGATCAGCCCCCCACACCCTCTCTTCTTCTGCCTTCTGTAGATTTGTGTTGCTGGTGCTGACGCACTTGGACCTGGAGCTGACCCACCCAGATGCGGAGGTCCCTGAGTTTGACCTCAGCAGGTACGGCTTCGGGCTGATGCAGCCGGAACATGACGTGACCATCCGCTACCGCCTTCGCTAAGGCCGATGGGAAGGCCAGGCCCACTCCAGCCAGCCTGACGCCCCGCAGCTCTAGGCTCAGTGTCCGCATTTGGCCTGGGGGCAGAGCTTTAACACCCTTGGTGCCGGCCTCACTGCTTCCCTGCTTTTTTTCCTGCAAGGCTGAGTCAGGAGGCTGTGGGGGGGAGAGGAGGTAGGGGGGTGAAGAGAAAGTGAACAAAGAAAAGACACCAGACGCTCTGTGGACTGGCCACCGCAAGGATTTATGCCCAAAGTGAGGCTTCTTCTGCTTCCAGCTCACCTCAGTCTTCTCACCTTATGAAACCCACAAAATCTAGGCAGACATGGCAGGATAAGAGCCCTCGCTCCTGTGCCCCAGCTCCGGAGAGGCTCCTTCCAGGTCCTTCATGGTGGGCTCCAGGCCAGAACCAGCTGGCGCAGATGCTGTACCCCAGAAAGGCCCATCCCACCTGGCAGCATGTCCCTTGAAATAAGCTCTGCTTCCGAATTATTAAGCAAAGACGCCCCATCTCATCTGGCCTTCTGGATGCCCCTTTCGCGGGCACCTCCCTCAGCCTCATTCTCACTGATGCTTGAGAAAATGCAGGTGGGATTTCCCGGGGCTGGTGCATCTGCCGTGCAGACACCAGCTTCCTCCCGACGCTGGGCTGGGAGCGGGAGGGTTCTCTGTTCGAGTTAGGCGCACCAGAGAGTGGATTTCCCCAGGGCTGAGACTTAAGCAGAGACCAGCCTGACGGGACCGGTCATGTTAGGAAGCACCAGGACGGCTTGCACTGGTCAAGCGAAGGAAGGAGGAGGCGTTGGTTTCCTGTTTTCTAGCTCAGAAGCTCTAGCTGCGGGCACGTCCAGCCTGCAGCCCTGCTTTTGTCGGCATACACTTTAAAAAAATTAGTTGTTATATCCTCTTTAAGAGAGTTAGTTCAAAATGTCCAGCTTCTCTTGAGCATTTGCAAAACCTAGTGCCAGGGGCAGCCATTGGCGAGAGCTGAGAAGCGCTGCCTCCATTCCGTGGACAGGTGCCCCGACCCCTGGGCCTCCGCTGGGCTGCTCCCCTATGCACAGTACCCTCTGGGCCCTGAAGCCATTTGACTTTGAGAGCCTCGTTGTAACTCTTAGATGTGCTATTGTGGAAGGTGGGGGGACCCTGCTGATGGGTCCTCAGACCGGTGGTCTGTCCCTTTCCGGGTGCACCACCTTTGAACACGCAGACTAATGGTGAAAACATGTCTTGGCATCTCGCTTTAGAAAAAGAAACCAGCTCAGAGAGAAATTGCGTTGAAACCTTTATTGTGACGGGAAGCGCTGGTTTTGATGTTAGAGCCCATCAATGGAGGACCCACTACAGGCCGTGACAGGCACAGCGGACGTAGTATTTCTACTTCTCACAGCATCTCTGTAAAGAGAGGATGACTGTGTCCTCACTGTAGAGAAGAAATGGGCCCAGAGGGGTAAAGCAACTTGCCCGAGGTTGGCACAGCTGCCGAGATGGTAGAACTGGCCGCACGCTAACACCACAGTGCTTGGGCTCAGGGGCTGGGAGTGGAGAGGCAGTTCTGTTTGGCTTCGGAGAGCTGACAGAGCTAGAGGCACCCATGGGTGGGTGATCTCATGAGACGCAGGCACACACATCGCTAGGTCCTTGTAGCTTAGGCTGGAGGGAGAAGAGAGAAGATCTCTGAATGTTCCAGGGACTAGTCTCTTCTCAGAGCAGCAGGAGGGCTTAGGGGCTTCCCTGGGCCTCAGCCTCCAGGCACCCCCAGGATTCCCAGACAGACTGTGATTGGCAGGAGGCGGGATATCCCCAGGGAAACCCATCTTCACGCCTGGGTGACCCCCGCTGCTGCCTGCTTCTTAACTCTGCGGGAAATCAGGGCTGGCAGCCTCCATTGGGAGGATGGAGCCGGTTTCCATGGCAACCCTCTGCTGCCTCATCCTGGCTCCGAAGGGAAGGGGGAAGGCTGCAGATATAGCTGCAGGAAGATCGCTGGTCATGGCTGCCTCCCTGGTGTGCTGCGGGGAGCCCTCGGGATGTCCCCTTCCTAGTCAGGGCTCCTGGGCCACGAGATTAGAGTCTCACCTCCATTCACAGAAGTGCCAATTCCTTTTTAAGGCGGCCCCTTATGGTCATTAGGAAGAGACGATTCTTCCACCAGGCAACTTGGGCTGGGACTGGAGATATTGAAGTACAGCTTCGGAGACCATGATTACCCACCCCCCCACCCCTTGTTTTCACCTTTATTACTTTTCTTTCTTCTTTGAAGCAATATAAGCTATGGAGAAAAGTGGGGGCCAAGGGAGTGAACTCCTACTACAGGTTAGTTGGGGAGGCACCCGTGCCATTGTATTCATGCCTTCCTTTAGCATCACAAAATTGCAGGACTTACCTTAGAAGCGCTCTTAGTTTGCCCTGCAGACGTGTTCCCTCACCATCCCTTATATTTGGGGGGTTCTATTTTGTAGTGTTGTTTACCAGGCATTTTCCTTTAAACAGACTCGTTTTTTCAACGTAAATTTGTTTAGAAAGAGAACTTTTTTTTGCTGCCAGTAACTGACAACATGTATCACTCGCTGCCAAAAATAGAAAGTAGCTGTGAAAACGAAATCCGCTGGGGAGGGGCCTCCAGGCTGTCATCTCGGTGACAAAATGCAACAGGCCAGCGTTCAGTGGCGTTTAAGCCAGGCGGGTACCACCCAGGGTGTCCTGGCTGACTGTCCCCGGTGAGAGGGAGAGAGAGGGAGTGAGATGCTCTCCCCGGGGTCCACTGGGCCCCACGCCTGGCTCTGGAACTGCCAGGCCATCTCCTCCCACCTGCTCTGCCTGCGGGTTGGGAACCAGACTCTGAGAGTTGAAGTGTCTTGTTCAAAGTCATCGATTTTGCTTTTGTTTTCAATAAAGACGGTGTTTTGTGAGTAGCAGCAATTGTTATGCCTCTCTCTTTTATCAAAGAGTTTTATTTTCATATAATATTAACAAGTGGAAATGTGCGAAATATATTAAACCATCTTGTTTGTGGAACTGCCTCTGAGTGTGATTGGGAGCGAGAGTCCACGGTTGGTCGGTTGGGAGTGGCAAGGTCTGTGCCTGAGGAGGGACCCCCCCACCATACCCTACTGTGCACTGACCCTGGGGCCTCTGTCCTTTCATGAACAGAATCAAGTCACGCTCCCAGCCAACCCCCAAGTCATCTATCATTGTCTCCATTTTCAGAGGAAGAAACTGGGGTCAGAGTGAAGGGCTTGTGCTTCAGGGGGGCCCGAGAGCTGGCCCCGGGCCCTATCTCTGTTCAGGATCTTTCCGAGGGGGGGGCGCCCCTAGAGGACCTTGGAGAAGTGGTCACGACTCCATCTCTTCAAAATTCACTGCATGTTCTTTCTCCTTCGCCAAGTATGCATTTGTTCTAATATAAAAAAGGAGCAGAATCAATTAAATTAACTTTGGGGAAAATTAAAAAGAGGAAATTGGTTTGTCTCTCGAAACTTTGAGTGAAAATAATGTCCCTCCCACTGTTTTCCTCATCTGTGAGGCTTGTGGAGGTACAATGGGTGGGATTAGGCCTGGTTGGGAGTGACAGACATCTCAAAGTAACGCAGCTGGCATTTTAAATTAGCTTCATAATAGAGTTTCCAAAAAGAAAGAGAAACGAGCCAAGATCATGGGGAGGCAGTGACACTGGATCTGGGTTTAGAAAGGTGGGTAGGAGTCCACCTTGTGGGAAAATGATTGGGGTGCATTCTAAGCAGCAGAACTGCAGGAGCGAAGACCCTGTGTCCATGACCTATTGCTGTGTAACAAAGAACCCCAACATGCTGTGGCTTCAAACAAAATGATTTTACTTATAGAATGCTATCATACTATGCTGCTTCAACTAAAAAATTATTTTATTATTTCTTATGCTTTTGTGGGTTGATGGGGCTCAGCTGGGTGGGTTTTCTGGTCTCACCTAGGGCCTTTCAAGTAGCCACGGTCACATGTCAGATGGGACAGCAAAGCCAGGACGGGTGGCATCTGCTCTCTCATTCTGAGTAATTTTGGGGCGTCTCACTCTCCTTGTGGCCTCTCCAGCAGGGTAGTGGGAAAGACTGTAGGTGGTTCAGGGCTCCCCAAAGCCAAAAGTGGAAGCTGTGCAGCTTTCTGCTGGCTCAGGTCTGGAGTTGGCCTCACTTCTGGCACATTCTGCAGTAGACGGGAGTCTCAAGGCTGGGCTTGGACTCAGTGAGAAAGGGACTATACAACAGGGATGGCCAGGAGGTGGGTACCAGCTACTATTGGGCCAGAGAATGGTAAGTCTTTGCCTGAAATACAGGGATGCAGCAGTAGGTGATGATGATGCTGGGAAATAGAGAGGACCAGGGTCAGTCAAATTTCTGTGCCCGCAATCCTAGGTTTATATATAGGAGAACTTGTATGCAAAGGAAGGAAAAATCTAGAATTCTGGCAACTCTTTCCAAAAAAAGGTTATCAGTTGTCTCCCATCTACCTAGAGGGAGTGATGGGTAGAGGCTTCCAAGCCCATACGGGAGGAGCCCTTAGCAAGCCTAGCACTGGAGGGGCAGTATCTTCCCTACAAGGAGGGCGTTTCTCAGCCATTGTCCTCAGCTTGGAAGTTCTGAGGCTAGAGCAGAAACTGAGACTTCTCCAGTCTTTTACATCCTAAAGGTAAAAATTAGATCAACTCCTCCTTTGTTTAAAACCCTTCAACACTCTTGACATAAAATCCAAACATCTCCCCACAGGCCTCACCTACATGATTTCTCTCTCTTACCTCTATTTTTTCCTTCTGCCCTTTCTCCGCCCACTCTTGCCTTCACACACTCCACCCTGGCCACACTGCCGTCTTCATCTCTGTCAACTCTCCCTCCTGCCCCAGGGCCTTTGTACCTCCTTCCCCTTCTACCTTTAGTCAGAAAGCCCTTCCCCACAATTTCATGGCTTGATTACCCTGGTTTACCATTCACGTGAGTCTTCGTTGCCCCCTCCTACTTTTGCTTTTATCCCTCACAGCAAAGATCACACTAGATTCTTTTTCAATGTCTCTGTTTATGTCTCCATTAGAATGCGAGTTCCACCAAGGCTGCGTTCCCAGCATGCAACATGAGCTCGGTGCCTAGCAGGTGTTCAGGAAATATGTGCAAAGTGAGTGAATGGTCTTTTGCTGGTCTTGGGAGAGTCTTGGGGGAGTCCTTTATCCTGGACGATGAGGAGTCATGAGGATGGGAAGCAGGAGAGACTTGGTGAGACTTGTGCCTTTAAAAGTCTACTCAGGTAGCTGGATTAGAGGAAGGATAAAACTGGGGAGGGAGACAAGAAAGGAGGCAGATGAGATCGGGAAGGGGTGGTCAAGGGCAATGGACAGGAGGTAGGGAAGACATCAGTCCCCAAAGGGCAGGGGAGCTGGACTTTAATGAATATTATCTTAGGAGCATCAATTAATTAGCTGTTGATCTCTGTGGCTTTTATTTCCTCCTTTCGCTGACTTGCTCCTTTTCCATTGCATCTTGGAGTACCCAGACTTCTCTGTGGGGAAGAAATATGAGTTTACTTCTAATTGCTTGCTGGAACTCCAAGCCTCAGTCCTCATCCTGGGAGTCAGTGGCTCTGGCAAAGCCTGGGCCATGAACAAGTTCACTGGACTATATGAAGTTCACCTCCTTCCCTCTGTGGGACCCTCTGGCGGCACCAACGTTTCCTCCCTTGGAATGGAGTGCAGGGATATATGCCAAGGGTTAGCACCAAACATTTAATATAGAAAACAGTCCAAACTTTCTATATAGTAAATACTCCAAATGTTAGGTGGCAGATGTATAGGGATGGCTGGGTGAATGGGTAGATTCATGGACAGATGGATGGATGGAGAAATAAATAGGCAAGTGTTGGACAGAAATATGAATATTTGGGGTTGATGCATGATTGAGTGAGCACATGGATGAGCAGGTAGATGCATGGGTAGGTGAATAGATAAACAGATGGGTGGTTGGAGAGTCAGAGGGTAGATGGACGGTTAAATGAGCAGGAGGGTAAATGTGCGTGGAAAGATGGGTGTGGGTGGAATGTGTAAATGAATGTAAAGAAAAATGGATGAGAGAGTACATGAATTGAGAGGTGAGTAGGTAGATAAATAGGTGGCTATGTAGTTGAACAGTTCATGGCTGAGTATATGGATGAAGGCATCAGTGGTTGAATTGGTGGGTAGGGGATGGGTAAAAAATGGAAACAAAATTTAAATGTTTGCATTGATCAGAAAACTAGGTTTACCCATTTACCTGGAATGTGGACCAGGAAACCCCCCAAGGTTTGATAAAGGTAATCAGACTTGTATATAGACCAGGCACTGGAGTCAGACATCTGGTCACTCAAGGATCATACAATAGCTAATAGGTTTTTATATCAGAATCTTCAGCCCAAAAATGAGAGAGTTAGAAAGAATCTTAAGTGAAGTCAGTCACAGGCAAAACCTTTAGCACAGTGCCTGGTGTTTAGTAAATGCACAATCAACAATAGTGAGTAAATACCAGCCTTAGGCATGGTGCTAAACACTTTATGTGTATGATCTCATTAGTCCTTCCAGCAGCCCTGTGAGGTACATTATGCCAGAAACCCCATTTTGCTCATGATTATATTATTATTATTATTACTATTATGATTGGGTAAATCAAAAGAGGAAGGGCCTAGAAAATGAAAGTCCAAGCTGGGAGAAAAATCCTAGACAAGGCCAAGGCAAAGAGCAACATCCACTCAGAGTAACCCTGAGTCACAGCCATTCTGAGATGTATATGGTTTCCCTCGAGTCTTGGGGTACCCCCCCAAGCACCCTCATAAAGCAATTATTCCTTCCCAGACGTCTGTGGGCAAGAGGGAAGAGGGGATTAATTAGTCCTGTAGAGTGCCCAGGAGGGCTGAGAAACCTGAGCAGGACACTCAGTGGGATCATAAATAAATGATGGCTGGTATTCTGGAATCCAAGAAAAAAATCTGACTTCAAATGGACACATCTCTTGCCAGCACAATTTAGAGGGGAATTCACTTGTATTTACATGGACATATTGGGCCAACTTGACCTCACTTAGCCTCAGGGAAAAATCTCAACCCCTGTCAACTGGAGGTATGCTAAAAGGCGTGCGCACAGAAGACATTCTGAAAGGTTTTCAGCCTGGGCGGCTGGGGGGTCCTGGTGCTGGTGCTCACTTGCTGCCTAACCATGGGGTGTTGTGTCCCTCAACAAGCTTTTTTGTTTTTCCAACTGTAAAATGAAATGGCTACACTTGAACTCTTATTGAGGAGGCTCCTTAATAGAACGTTTGAGTTTTACTATTTGTTTTGCCCTGCTTCAAGTACGTTCATTTTCTTTTGCCCAGTTTTTCATGTATATTGTAAGGAGATAGTGAGCTTCTGGTTAGTGAAGAGACAATTACATCAGATGGGTTCTTTTGTAGATAAATGACAAAGTGACAACTCTGTCTGGCTTAGGTTTAAATAAAAAGGGGGCCCTATTTACTAGCTTACTTAATGGGAAAACCCATAGTTACTGGCTTCAGGCATGGCTAGATCCAGGAGCTCTAATGACATAGGCAAGATTCAGTATCTCAATCTCTGGGGTCTATTTTCCCCTGTATTGACTTTATTTCTAAATAGTATCTCTGTCACGAAGACAGAATATTCTAAGAAATGAAGGCCAGATGCTTTCAAATAACATACAGTCTTTTTATTTGGGGAATTTTAAAAATTGGGCACTGTGCAGAGCCTGGGGATACAGAGACAAGATGCCTCTTTGGACTTCCTTGGCCTTTGTATGCAAGAAGCACAGGCCTACATTTTTGCCAAGCCCACACTAGTAACGTAAATGAAAAAGTGACTTGAGTGGGGACCTGAGGGAGAATGAGAGACCATAGCAAACTGGAGAGCACATCCTACCTAATGGGGCCAGCTATGACTTAAGGGGAGCCACTATTCTGTGCATGATTGCTGTGTTTTACAGGAATGGGCGCAGTATTCATCAATTTCTCTACTTTTTCAAGAAAAGCCAGAAATCCAGATTTTTTTTAACATTTAAATATTAAGTCAATTTTTAAAAAATCGTGATGGTCAAACAACATGGGTCTGCAGGTCACCAGCTTGTGACTTCCGCTGTTTAACGTAAGGGATTGTCCAGAGGACTGAACTCTGCACATACTAGCCATTTCTTTTAAAAAATATTTACAAAAATCAGTTAGGCGACTTGAGAGTGTGGACTGGAGCCAGGGCAGAGGGAAATAAGAGAGTTAATTTCTGTCTACTCTGCCTCCAGTCCAACCAAGAGATTGGAAACTCCTGAAATCAGAGGTGTGTCTTATATATGAATTTCTTATATGTAGTCATTATTCTTATTTATTTATTCATTTTTTATTCTTATATGTAATTTATTCATTCTTTATTCTTATATGTAGTCAGTATTTATTCATTCATTCAGCAAGCATTTTTCGAGCAGTTTACTCTGTATCTGGCCTCGTGTGGGGCACTGTGGGATCATTGTGAAAACACTGTTGGTGGCCTACCCAGCCTCAATCTCCACTTCTTCCTTGTTAAACAAATTTCACTGTTGTAAGTGCAGTGATGGGCCCATCCCTATGGGAAAGATCCCATTGCCAGTGATTGGGCTAGGAGGGGCCAGGTGGCCTGGATTAAGATATTTGGTCCCATTCCCTTTTCCAACACCCCTTCTCAAGTTCATTTTCACCTGGGAATCTGCTCTATTTGGCTTCCCGTGCCTGCACCTCCTTCTTCAGAACATCACATAGTTGTCTTCTGTTAAATTGACTTAGAATTTCTCAACCTTGACTCTATTTGCAATCTGGGCTGGAGAATAGTTTGTTGTGGGGGTCTGTCCTGTGCATTGGGAGAGAACCTTTGGCTTCTACCTGCGGTGACGACAACTTGGACAAGGATTATGATGGAGGTGACGAGAAGTGAACAGATTGAAAATGCAGATTATGTGCCACTCTGTAGAAATGAATCCTTTGATTTAATGAAATGAAGAAAAGGACCAGAGAGGAGAAGGTCCTTACCTTGGGACCCCGTGGCCTGTTCACAGTACTTCTCCTCCAGAACAGGCGACTCACCAGCACCAATTTACTTATCCTGCAGTAAATATATATATATGAAGAAATGAAGGAGTAAACATGGGGTCCAACTATGCATCCCGGGGGGGTTTGTTTTCTCAGTTAATTCTTCTGTTCTGTATTCATTTCTGGAGATTATTTGATTGGTTCTGTCTCCCCCACTGGACAGGCTACTCCAGGGAGGATGGCCCTTCTGCGCCTGGCGCAGGGTCTGGCACACAGGGGGTTCCCCATCACCAGCTGTCCAGCTTGAATGAATGAATCATCAGGCTACATCAACCAGCTCGCCCCTCACTCTCTCTCCTCACCTCGCCTTATTTTTCTTTCCATCAATGATCCCCATTGCCAAATCGCATGTCTTTGCTGAGGTATTCACTGTCCACCTTTTCCCACTCGAATCTGGCATTCCATTCTAGAATTTGATTTTTGAATCTACTACGGAAGCTCAGGAAATCAAGAGGTATTTAAAATTGCAATCTGCTCCCACTCCCACGCCTGCCTCCTCGGCTCTCCTCTGCTTCATCATCCCCCAGCGCTTATCGCCGACATATTCTTTGACTTTCATGTTTGTGGTCTGTCTCCAACCAGCTCCACCAGGGCCCCAAAGTTTGCGTCGATTTGGTTAATGGCCGTATCTCAGACGCCCGCGTGCTGGCACTCAACCCACGTGTGGACACAACCGAAGAAGGTGGGATTGCCAGACAGGCCGTGGACGTAGCCGGGTGAGGAGGGCCAAGCGCCAGGTGCTCCCCCTTCGCCCCAACTCCCAGCGGGCCTCGCCAGCAGGCCGGGCCGGGCACGCAGGAGTTAAGCCGCGCGCGCTCGCGGCCCGCAGGTGGCGCCGTCCCGCCTCGGTGCCCAGCTCCCGGCGCCCCGAAGTGCGGGACAGAATCGCAGCGAGCGCGGAGCCGAAGCTCAGCCCCGACTTGTTGATCTCGCCCAAGCAGCCGCCGCCGCGGGAGCGCGAGCCGGAGCCGGAGCCGGAGCCGGAGGAGGTGGAGCAGGAGGCGCCGCCCGACCGCGGTCCTGCCGCCCGCGCCTCCAGCGGCCGCCCGTTCCCCCAACATCGAAGCTCACCCCAGCCCCGCGGTGCCTGCAGCCCCCGCGCGTCGCCTGCCCGCCCGGCTAGGCCGGGCCCAGCCCGCCCCGGGGACGCCGCTGCCCGCGGGCGGGGGCGCCCGGGCAGCCGCGGCGATGCGCGGTCCCCGGCCCCGGGAGGCGGCCGTCCTGGGGGTGAGTGTTGGGGCGCGCGGTCGGCGAGGGGGGCGCAGGGGGACACGGGCGAGAGGCTCGCCGGCCGCGCCTCGGCCTGTGGGCTCCGCCGCTCCAGCCCCGGGCGGGGGGCGGGGAGGTGGGGTGAGGGCTGGGGCCTGGGGCGCGCGCGCTCCCTCATCCCGAGCGAGGGGAGAGGGCGTGAGCCTCGCAAGCAGGGGGGCTTAGGGGAGCCCCGGAAATCACCAGTGCGCGGCGGAGGAGGGCACATTTTGAAAAGGCCAGAAAATTCAGCTCGTTTCCCCGCCTCCCACCTCCCCCACCCCTTCCCTTCCGAGCCCCGGGAAAGGCGCAGAACCCAGAGTTATAAAAAGCCATCGCAGGAGAGCGGCAAAGAGGGGGCGGGGGGAGGAAGAGGAGGAGGAAGGGAGGCGAGGAGGAGGAGGAGAAGGGGCGGGGAACAAACGAGGGGAGGCTAAAGCTGGTGGACCCTCAAGACCCTGCGCGCCCCCCCTGCGCTGGGGTGGCAGGTGCAGAGGGAGGGCGGGACCCCGCGCGGAGCGTGGCCTGGCGTCCTCTGAGCGCACCTCCTCACGGAAGCACCTCCGGGGATGCACCCGCAGCCAGGGGAGAGGGGTCGCTCCAGGACAGCCAGGCTGTCGTGACCCCCCCATCTGTGGTGACCCCCGACAGGTTGGCACTGAACCCCCCAAGATTTCCTGCAAATCTTGGGACATCACTGCCACCCACCCACCCCCCGCCCTCAAATCCTAATTCTCTTGGAGTGAGAGGAGGAACAGATGAGAAGTCTTTTTTAGAAAAAAAAAAGTTTTCCAGGGAGCACCCCTCTTTGGCTATTGCGGGGGCTGGTTCTGGACTTGGTGGGGAGACCCAGAGAGAAGCGAGTTTCAGCACTCGAGGGGGGCGGACAGCGCCCCGAGCGGCAGGGTCGGGCCTGGCCCTGGAAGGCCGGGGTGGGGCCTCCCGGGCCCCCGGGCGCTCCTTGGGGGCCCTCACTGCTCCCCAGGGGCGGCCCCTCCTCCCATCCGCGGGGCGGGCAGGACTTCAGCACCAGCGGAGAGGACAGCGCCCGGCCTCTCGGCCCCACCTGAGCCGCTTAAGCTGGGGAAGGTCAGGGCCATCTGGGGCCCCAGCGAGGTGGGGCGGGGCGCCCCCCAGGTCCCCGCTTGCTGACCTGCGTCTGCTTTCTGCCTCGCAGCCCTCGGGATGGAGGTGAGAAAACGGCCGTGAGGAGCGCCCGCGCGGGCCCCTGCACCCCCAGCTGCCCACAGCGCTCCCTGCCCCCCTCCCCCGCGGCGGCCAGCCTCGCCGTCCAGTGACAGCGGCCTGGGGGGGCGGGGGGCGGGGGCGGCCGGACCAGCGATGCCGGCGGGCATGACGAAGCATGGCTCCCGCTCCACCAGCTCGCTGCCGCCCGAGCCCATGGAGATCGTGCGCAGCAAGGCGTGCTCCAGGCGCGTGCGCCTCAACGTCGGGGGGCTGGCGCACGAGGTCCTGTGGCGCACCCTGGACCGCCTGCCGCGCACGCGGCTGGGCAAGCTCCGCGACTGCAACACTCACGACTCGCTGCTCGAGGTGTGCGACGACTACAGCCTCGACGACAACGAGTATTTCTTTGACCGCCATCCCGGGGCCTTCACCTCCATCCTCAACTTCTACCGCACCGGGCGGCTGCACATGATGGAGGAGATGTGTGCGCTCAGCTTCAGCCAGGAGCTCGACTACTGGGGCATCGACGAGATCTACCTGGAGTCCTGCTGCCAGGCCCGCTACCACCAGAAGAAGGAGCAGATGAACGAGGAGCTCAAGCGTGAGGCCGAGACCCTCCGCGAGCGCGAGGGCGAGGAGTTCGATAACACGTGCTGCGCCGAGAAGAGGAAGAAGCTCTGGGACCTGCTGGAGAAGCCCAACTCCTCTGTGGCTGCCAAGGTGAGTCTGGAATCTGGGGGCTGGGGGCACTGTCTGCGTGCCCAGATTGTGCGCCCCATGGCTGGGGGACTCACTTAGTTCCCAAAGATGAAGACCAGGAAGGGGGAGTAGCTATGACCAGTCCTGGGAGGTGAGAACCAACTCCAGACTTTCCCTAGGTGGCAGTGATCATCCCGTGCTTTTATTATCCAACACTTTGTGGCCCCAAAGAAAAGAATCCACACAAACTTAAAAAAAAAAACCAAACCCACCGGAAGAGCATGGACACTGGACAATAGGAAAGAGCGAGTAGGGACTCGAAGTCTTGCAGAGCTGGAGCAGGGTTGAGTTTGGTCTGTTCTACATGAGGCTTCCTTGTGGAGTCCCTGCCTGGGCTGGAGGTGCGTCACCCTGGGATTTTAATGCTTATCCCTATATTTATACCCTCACTTTGCCCCGAGGAAGGGATGAAAACAGCTTACAGACATGCCTGGAGGACACTGAGGTACTGCAGGCAGCTTTAACATAAGTATTTAACATAACATAAGTATATAAAGGGACTTGGGGGGCGGGGGGAGTGTGCTCGCCTGTCGCTGGCAGCAGGCTGTGGATGCCAGTGGGCGTAGGGTCCCCCCTGGTTTGTTCTTTCTGTATTTATGTGGTGAGTTTCTTCCAAGAATGGTTTGGTGCAGCTTATAAAAATGCTTTGGCTGAGAAGAGGATGCGAATTTCAAAATAGGAGAGAAAAACGAGACAACGTGAGAAGGGAAGCAGAAGAAGGAGGCAGGACAGGTTCACAGGCCAGGGAGGTCTGTGCTCTGATGGGCAAAGACACAAGCTGCAAGGGGCTGGGAAGGCCTGGGCTGGGGCAGGGGTGGGGCTGGGGCAGGCCAGGCAGGAGGTCCCAGGTTGATGAGCAAATTCTCTGTGACAGGCTGGGATTCAGGGATGCCTCAGAGAGATGGGGGCCTGTCTTCACAGCCCAGCAAGCCAGGCGTAGAGTAAAGGACAACTACTCAGCACTATAAACAAAGATCGTGTGGGCCCAGGGCGAGCCAGAGAGAGAGGTGTGTCCAAATCCAGGAAGACCATGCTGGGAAAGATAACTCCCTCTCTGACAGTCACTTGGCCTAAAGCAGGCAGGGAGGAGGTGGGGGGACATGTAAATGTGTTCGTGGTCAAAGTAGGGGTGTGAAGAAGCCCACAAACAGGTCCTGATGTATCAGCTCAAGGCCCCCCTGAAAGGCTCAAGGCCTCGCTCAAGGCCCCCCTGAAGGGCTGGGTCTGAAGGAGACTTTGTGGGGGTCCTTTCCCTAGATCTGGCTGCCCAAGGAGAGGCCCCTGAGAGCAGATGCAGGAGCAGGTGGCTAGTAGGAGCGTGGAGGGAGGTCCAAGTGTTTTCTCTCTTCCCTGTCAACCCTAAAGAGGATGAAGAGATTCCTAAGCCTGTTTTCCTCTTCCGAGGCTGTGCGCTACCTCTGGCCATAATCCTGTCCCAGGTTTTGTGTCTAAAAAGCCTCCCTCTTAACTCAGAGTCACTTACCCTTAACCGGCTTAGAGGATCAACAGACTTATTTTACTATTTCCAGGCCTGACACAGGTTCCTCCCATGCATACCTCCTGTTATGGCCAAACATGCTTTTCCCTCTTCCCTGTCCTGTCTCTAAGACTTGAGAGTGAGGGGCAGGGAAGGGGAGGTCCCCCTGCTAGAGAAGAAGCTGGCAAAGGGATTTGTCTGGCAGCAGGGCGAGGGAACTCAGGCTTGCAAAAGGCGTTATTTGGGAATAAACAGCTTCATCTCTTGGGTTAATCCGTTTCCAGGGACGAGTTTCATGACCTCTTCATGATCCCAAGCTCCAGCTGCCGGCTCACATTCCTGGCAGATGGATGGTCGAGGATATTCTGCAGCCAGAGCTGGAACAGGGAGGCAGGCAGGCTCACTGGGCCTCAGTGTGAAATCCTGACTGCCTTCGATCAAACGCTTACTGTGTGTGGATGTAACAGAATTACCCCAACTCTGTTATTATCCCACCTATCACAAACAGGGAAGCTCAGAGAAGTTAAGTAAATTGTCTAAGGTCACACAGCAGGCAAACAGGCACATCCAGAAATTCAAACCCACGTGTGATTTTGAAGACCCTGTTCTTTCTACAATGATAAGTGGCACAGCTTCCTCCCAGTCTCCCTGCTTCCATTCCGCTTTTGCCCCCTGCAATCCATTGCCCACATAGCAGCCAGAGTGAGCTTTTCAAAATGTAAATTGGATCCCATTATTCATCTACTTAAAATCCTCCAGAGGTTTCTCATCACACTCAGAATAAAATTCAAACCCTTCACCGTGTTATATCAGTTCCTGCTGAACCCAGCCCCCATGACCTCTTTGAGCACATCTGCTTCCTCTGGTTCACTCAGGACACCTACTGGTCTCCTTGCTGTTCCCTGAACAGTTCAGGTTTTATCCTGCCTCAGGACCTTTGCACTTGCTCTTCCTACTGCCTGGAATGCTCTTCCCCAGATTGCCCCAGGACTAGCCATTTAGCCTCATTCCTCATTTGAGCAGGTTCCTTCCTACATTTCTCCTCCTCAGAGAGATCTTTCCTGACCTCTGTCTAAAGTAGCCTCCTTCTCCATCCTCTCTAATGCATCGTGCAGCATCTTTCCCGAATAAGCTTACGAACCATCTGAGATTCTATTTGCCTCCTTGTGTTTCTCTGCTTCTCCCCCACAAGAGTGAGTGTCGGAGCTGCATGCACTGCTCTATTCCCAGCACCATGCCTGGTGCGGAGATGCTCCAAATAATGATGTGGAGTGAAGGATGGATCAGTCAGCTGGTGTTTCAGGGTTCAAAGATCTGCCACTCCTTTCTCGCTGCCCACCTGCGACCCAGTTCCCGTCCTCTCTCCCTTTCTGTCACCTGCACTTCGCCCACCCTGCTCGAATCCCCCCCCCCCAACTTAAATGTCAAGTCAGACCAGCCTTGCCTGTGGAAATTTCTTAGAGGTCACACAGTGAGAGAGTCAAATAGAGGATCACTTCTGGGTGGTTGTGAGATACAGAAATGGCCATATTGCTTATGTTTTAAGAGACCCAGCTTCGGCCTGGCACCACTACCTCCGCACCTCTGATCCTAGCAAGTTCTTCACCTCTCCAGGCTCTGGCCGTCCACCTGTAAAATTGAGATTAAAAAGTCCATCTTGCAGGATCATGAAATCCTAGCCATATAGCTTCTAGAAGATAGGGCTTATTATTAAAAAAATTAAGGACAGAGTCCTTTCTCTGTGGCTGGTGGGCTGGCTTGCAGCAGACACTTCTTTTGCGGTATGGGAGACTGAGCTGCCGCTGTTAATAATTGATGGCAACTCAGAGACAAACCAAAGCGCAGGCCCTTGCCTTCACTGCCAGGGGAGTGGAAATCAAAATCCATTAGGCAAAAGGCAGCGTGATAGATTCTTGTTTGGAAGCCTGGGTCAGCCCCGCCTGAGTGACAAGGGTGGGGGTGCTGGGCTACCACTGGGCTTCTGCTTTCTCTGAAGACTCTGCAGATTGATCTTGGTAGGAAAGAGAGGGAACTGATGTGCCAGGCCAGAATTTGTGTGTTCCCTGAAACAGTCTCAGGGATAAAACCCTGTGATAATTTCCTAATGTCCAAAGTAGCTGCTGTTTGTGGTGCCAGGCATGGGTTAGCAGTACTTGGTATCCACCATCTCATTGCAATTCCTTCAGCTATCTCAACAGGTATTTGCTAGTTTGGGCTGCAAGTAACAGAATAGAAAACATGCAATTGCTTCTCTAAGGAGGAAGATGCATTGTCTCACATTGTTACCAAGCCATGGGGTCGCTAGATCAGAGAATGACGTCATGTCTTTTGAGAAAAGAAGTCAGCTTCATCGTCCGTCTGTGGACAAGGAGGCAGGAGGGAAATGCAAACCTGCCTCCCCCGTTAAGAAAAGGAATGAGGGCATCGAGGTTTTTTCCAACCAGGGCTGGCTGAGAACAAAGGAGTTAAATTTTTTGGGCTGAGAAGCAGGCAAAGGGCAAAGAAATGCGGACTTGGCTGAAGTTCTTGGCTCGTCCCTGGACACTTCATACATGAAGGATGAAGAGGTTTTTCTTCAGTTAACTGCAGTTTTGGATTTCTGCTGGGGGCCCCTCGCCTCTAGGCAGCCCCCTCCTCTATATTTGTGTCTTCCGGCTCCCAGCTGGCCTTGGCGCTCAGCTCAGCCTTAGCCCATACACCTCTGGGCCCTGCTGTCCCCGTGAGAGCGCGTCTCAGAGAGTTTAGATCCTCTTTTTGCTCTCCTTTGTGCTCTTACGGTCTGACCATTTCCCTCAGTTTCAATTTAACAGGACTTTCCAAGGTTTCTGTTAATGGCTCAAGGCTACCTCCAAGATTCCAGGCTGTTTTCTTCTTTCCCCTCCTCCAGCTCCTGCAGGTGGCTGGGGTTCAGGCTGGACGCCTCCTATTACACGATGGCGCCACAGTTCCAGTCTTCTAATGTAGACACGTGGTGTCCAGCCGGTGGAAAGGGGCATTTCCTCCTACACCCCACTCTCTCCCACTTTCCCAGGAACCCTGAACAGACTTTTCTTAAATCCTGGAGCAGGTCCTGTGCTCCTGCACTAGCTGCAAGGAAGCCCTGGAAGGCGGGTGGCTGGCATTTTCAGACAGGGAGGGCGTGGGTTTTATGAGTGGTCTTAAGACTTTTCTATGGAGAGGAAATGGAGGTTCCGAGCAGTGAAGGCACTTGCCTAAGCTCACACAGCTAAGTGCGCAGTAAATATTTGTCAACGGATGAAAATGGCAGAGTCAGGGTTTGAGCCTAGGTTGGTCTGGACCCCAAGCCTGAGTTTCTTCATCCTCGATCCTAGGCAGATGGTTCAAGCTCCCTGAGCTCCAGGGAACTTGTCTGCTGAGTGATAAGAGCCAGCCTCTTGGCACCGTGTTGATGATTCAGTGAGATTTCAGAAGGCGATGCCATTTCCAATGGAAAGTATTTTGTAAATACGAATCGTTATTATTG